GGTGTGTGTTGTGTGTGTGTTATGGGTGTGTGTTGTGTGTGTGTTATGGGTATTATTATTTGTGTGTGTGTTATGGGTGGCTGTGTTGTGTGTGTGTGTTATGGGTGTGTGTTGTGTGTGTGTGTTATGGGTGTGTGTGTTGTGTGTGTGTGTTATAGATTGTGTGTTGTGTGTGTTATGGGTGTGTGTTGTGTGTGTTATGGGTGTGTGTTGTGTGTGTGTGTTATGGGTGTGTGTGTTGTGTGTGTGTTATGGGTGTGTGTGTGTGTGTGTTATGGGTGTGTGTTGTGTGTGTTATGGGTGTGTTGTGTGCGTTTGAGGGAGTTGTGTTGTGTATTTGAGGAGGTAGGTGTGTGTGTGTGTGTGTGTGTGTGTGTGTGTGTGTGTGTGTGTGTGTGTGTGTGTGTGTGTGTGTGTGTGTGTGTGCGTGCGTTTGTGTGTGTGTTTTGAGCTGCCTCCAAACCTCCATCACAACCTCACTTCACTCCTCCCACACTTCAAAATATATTCCATAACTCCTCCGCCTTCAGACCCACACTGTAGCTCCAACCCGCCTCCCCTACAGGTCAGGACTACGGTGTGTGTTGCGCTGCTGTAGACGAACTTCAGAAGCCCGGCCAGTGTCCCATGGAGGGTGGGAGTTCTCTGGTGGGCGCAGGAGGAGAGGAGGAAGAGATGAGATGTGGTGCCTCTTGCCTTCACGATCTCCAGTGTCCCTCTACACAGAAGTGCTGCATCTCCGACATCTGTGGCCAACACTGTGTCCAGCCCGCCAACCTTACTGGTCAGTGCAACACTTTATGGCCTGTGTAACTCGCTCCAAAACAGTATCTTAACGATTTAGTGTGAGACAATATGACACAAATCATGAAGGATTTTGACAACCCTACCGAGACAACAGGAGTAGTGATGTTTATTTTGAAATTCATCGGACCCCTCTGCACAGATACTTTTTGGAGCGAGTTATACTATTTTACTAACCCAGTTGACGCAGCCTCAAAACATTCAGTTATTTTTTATTTGTTTACAGAAAAAGAAACGGGGTGTTTAGTCATGCTGAACGTGTAGTCATATATTTGATACATCCAACCAACTTTTTCCCTCAAATGGGTTATGTGTGTGATGAAGGATAACGATGTTTACTTTTTTTTGTTAGATATATCAGCTTATACCGGGAAACTCACACTATACATGTTGACATGAATATAACACAATATAACAGAGACCAACCGTGGAAAAAGTCGAACTGATCTTGTCTACCCACAACTATATGGCTGAGAGACGCTGTTTACAAGTCGTGTTAAACCGCCTTGAATAACTGTAAAATGAGTCACAACCTAATAGAATGTCTTACGGGCTGTTGTTGTTGTTGTTGACGATTGAGGAACACTCGGCGACCTCACGTGAAGCTTTAAGTCGTAGCTGAAGGTGAATCTGGGGTCTGGGGATATCTTTGTCTCGTGTACCGTTATGTAAAATACCTTATATTTTCGTTTCTGAATATTTAATCACATAATGTTTTGATATATGTGAACGTGGAGGTAGTGTTGTGTTGTAAAAATTTATCTTGTTGGTACAGTCACCCACTAAAGTCCTGTTGCCTCTCTTCGCCTCTCCTCCTGAACCACGAACCAAGAGATTCAGACTCGTGAATCCGAAGCATGTATGGACAGAATAATGCATCACTGTCTACTGCTTCAGGTTCACGAGACTGAAACTAGGGGTTCGTGGTTCAGGAAAGGCGACAGGACTTTAGTGGGTGACTGTACCTGTCGCTAGTTCCTGATGATTTTAACATTGTGATGAACATTCAGCAGAGGTGACCAAAGGGTAAATACATTTCACACAGCATATTGTGGCAAAAGTAAAAAAACAAAAGTTTTTCGGGTTTGGTAACGGCTGCCAAAGTAATTGTAAAATTGCAACTTCCCAATGAATGTCTGTGTTTGTTGCCGAAAAAATATAATGGTTTACCTTTAAACATTTTCTTTTTTACTGTAATTACAAAAAGTAATATTTTAGAGAACCCGACACAACACAAACAACCTGACACACACACACACATGGTGGAGCGTTTACTGTTATGTTCCTCTCCTGCTGACACCCGCCCCCCTCCCCCCCCACCCATAGTGAGGTACAGTGGGTGGTGAAAACTCCTCTGCCGTCTGAACAGCAGGAATATTACTCGTATTACTGATGGGTCTATACTCTATCAGATGTAAAACCTCCATCTAACGATCTACATAGAAATGAAAATCCGTTATATCGTGAGACCGTTAAATATCAAACCCCCAACTAACGGATTATATATAGAGAGAAAAGTCCGTTAAATGGAGTAGTTATGTTCAGTTTTCCTGGGTCACTCCTTGTTGACCCCCGCCCGTCTAGAAGAATGTGCTGCAGCGCCCTGGCCACGTGCCAACTGAAGATTTTCTTCTTTATCTTTGTAATTTTTCAAACTTTGTCGTTTCCAACTTGCAGTCACAGCATCACTACTCAAACTCAGGCGGTGTCAAGGGTTCAAGGACGGTCACAAGTTTAGAGAGAGAGAGAGATGATAATACCTTGTCGTCTGGGAGTACTGGTGGGTTGGCCTCAGTACTGGTGGGTTCAGCCTCCAGTACTGGTGGGTTGCCCTCCCAGTACTGGTGGGATTAGCCTCAGTACTGGTGGATTGGCCTCCAGTGCTGCTGGTGGGTTGGCCTCAGTACTGGTGGGTTGGCCTCAGTATTACTGGTGGGTTGGCCTCAGTACTGGTGGGTTGGCCTCCCAGTACTGGTGGGTTGGCCTCAGTACTGGTGGGTTGGCCTCCAGTGCTGGTGGGATAACCTCCCAGTACTGGTGGGTTGGCCTCGGTACTAGTGGGTTAGCCTCAGTACTGGTGGGTTGGCCTCGAGGTACTGGTGGGTTAGCCTCCAATGCTAGTGGGTTGGCCTCCCAGTGCTACAGGTGGGTTAACCTCAGTACTGGTGGGTTGGCCTCAGTGCTGGTAGGTTAGCCTCAGTACTGGTGGGTTGGCCTCAGTACTGGTGGGTTGGCCTCAGTACTGGTGGGTTGGCCTCAGTGCTGAGTGGGTTAGCCTCCAGTACTAGTGGGTTGGCCTCCCAGTACTGGTGGGTTGGCCTCCCAGTGCTGGTGGGTTGGCCTCAGTGCTAGTGGGTTGGCCTCCAGTACTGGTGGGTTGGCCTCAGTACTGGTGGGTTGGCCTCAGTACTGGTGGGTTAACCTCAGTACTGGTGGGTTGGCCTCGGTGCTGATGGGTTAACACCTCGAATGCTGGTGGGTTGGCCTCAGTACTAGTGGGTTGGCCTCAGTACTAGTGGGTTGGCCTCCAGTACTGGTGGGTTAACCTCGGTACTAGTGGGTTGGCCTCGAGTACTGAGTGGGTTGGCCTCGGTGCTGGTGGGTTGGCCTCAGTACTAGTGGGTTGGCCTCGGTACTGGTGGGTTGGCCCTCAATGCTGGTGGGTTGGCCTCAGTACTGGTGGGTTGACCTCCAATCACACACCTCAAACCTCCTTAGTGGGGGCCTCTGAGGCTCTCTAACCTTTCGTGCGTCTGGGTAAATATTTTCTTTTGTGTTAATGAGACGGATGTTTTCGCTCTACACCTGAGGACCATACCTGTAGTCATGACCTGAGGACCATACCTGTAGTCATCACCTGAGGACCATACCTGTAGTCATCACCTGAGGACCATATCTGTAGTCATGACCTGAGGACCATACCTGTAGTCATGACCTGAGGACCATACCTGTAGTCATTACCTGAGGACCATACCTGTAGTCATCACCTTTGGACCATACCTGTAGTCATCTGTACCTGGTCAGTCATCACCTGGGGACCCCTGAGTCATCACCTGGGGACCCTGTACATACCCAGCCATAACCTGATCCCATCACCTGAGGACCATGCCTGTAGTCATCACCTGGGACCATGCCTGTAGTCATCACCTGAGGACCATACCTGTAGTCATCACCTGGGGACCATACCTGTAGCATAACCTGTGTAGCTATAACCTGAGGACCATACCTGTAGTCATCACCTGAGGACCATACCTGTAGTCATCACCTGAGGACCATACCTGTAGTCATCACCTGAGGACCATACCTGTAGTCATCACCTGAGGACCATACCTGTAGTCATCACCTGAGGACCATACCTGTAGTCATCACCTGAGGACCATACCTGTAGTCATCACCTGAGGACCATACCTGTAGTCATCACTCTATTAATATATTTAACTAAACTATGAACACCTGCCTTCACCTGGGTGTCAAGGAATGCCAAATCCTTCCTCCATTAACAAGTAGATAATATTTTAAACTCCTGAGAATTTTTAAAAATAAAATGAGAGAGACTCATGACGCATTTAATCTTGGCTTTGAACAACTTAAATGCTCGTTACTCGCTCAACCCGCATATTAAAGTGAGATGTAGTATAACGCTTATGTTACTGCAGCACTTTATGGTAATGACCCTCGCCTCCAGCCTTACATAAGAGGATAATAATAATAAAAAAAATACTATAATCAAATGAATGCCCTTCCGTATTTTTGTATTTGAGAGTCGCCCGTATTATTAAACAACATCTTTCCTTGAAGAGGGTCGTCGTGTTTCAACCCGAGTTTTAAACTAAATAAGTCCTGAGGGACACCGCAGTACAGTACTTAACGGGGTGGTGTGGCGGTAAAATTAACTAATTCCAATATTATAAATTAATTTTATTGGAATATGTATATAATTTTGAACGGTAGATTACAAAAGGAATTCCTAACCAAAACATATGAATAACACACACAAAATTTTTCCTTAAATGCCAGTAAATTTGTCCTATTATTTTAACAATCTCTGAATAACAATAATATTTTCCAGTGAAGATTATTAAAACAAGTTACAATTCTACACCAAGAGATTTATTTTTTATTGTGGAGCTAAAAATTATACTTTTCGTAGCTTCCAAAACTGCATTCATCCTAGTTATGTTCATATAGTTTTAATGATGCATTATAAATACACTCAACTGTTCCTCTTGTCGAGGGAATCAATGAAAGATAAAAGTAGGATGAGTTTCTTTGGAGGTCCCGCTCAGGAACACAGGTGGGGCTAAAGTGGGGCCACCTGGGTGACGTATTCGGTAAACAAAGAGACCATACCAACGCCATCTGCCTCAGAGGCCCGTTACTAACGCGCACACCAAAAGCTAGAGTTTTCTTATCTTTCATATATGGTCTTTGCAATCGCTGCACGTCTCGATGAACAGACAGTTGAAAAATGGCGTTTGTGAGTGAAGGTTGTAAATTGGCTGACTGGCGTGTTATTCAACGTGCTTTGGAGAACGAAACTACAGCCGTTAACATCTTTGGAGATTACGGTGTTAGTGTTTCATCAGTGAAGTGTCCGAGATATGATTCCGGGTGTCAGTATTGTGTTGATCGCCGTACGTGGTACTGTGGTAAGATATGGACACTGACGAAGAGGGCCAGTGTGGATTATCTCCTGCATCTCTTATTTAAGGTAAGTTTCTTACACACAGGGGGTCAAGGGTGACTAGTAAGTTAGGTCAGGTATGTCTGGTTTCTTCGGTTAGGTTTTTTAATATCTCCATAACTACTTATTTCCGACGGCAACGAAGGTCATATTCGTATACAACACGATGAATTACACTATAAAAACTTCTTTTCAATACTAAGTTAGGTGATGGCAACTGCTAAATATGGTGGTAAATTTGCACTTGCACACCCCACTCTGTTAGAAAGTAAAAAATATATTTGTTTATTGTGTTTGTGTGTTTAGACCTAATATGACCTTCATTTCCGTCAGAAATTGACTGGGTTTTTTATCGATGTTTTTTTCGTGGGACGTTTTCCGAAAAAAATAATGGCTAAGCGAATAAAAAATACACCAAAAAACACAAGAAAAACAAAAACCAAACCTAACCTAACTGACTCTCACCATATGATGGAATCACTTATTTCTTACCTTATTGACCTGGTTCTTGTTCGTCGTTGGATTATGAGATTCTTACACAACGCCACATATGTTGGTCTTTGCGATATTTACATTGTCTTGCACTTAGGACACTTGTTAAATTTTTACAAGTGGACAATCGGTGACTTAAGGTTTTTAACACATGCAATAGATATATCTTCGCATTCTGAGTAACTTTCATTGGCTAATATGAGGAGTGACCGTTACTGGTACGGTAATTATGGGGGGGGGGGGGGGTGTTTTTAGACAGTTTTATACACTGATTACTTTGTTCAACTCCTCCGCCTTATCCCACGTCCCGAATAATTACCGAATATACTGTATATATAATTATTCTGAATCTGCAAAGGTTACGTGCCTCTCCTGACGCACTTTTTTTCCTACATACATTACTGTTAACACCAAGATGGATGCCAGACAGACCACGTTCAATATAACAAGTAGATTTCACGACATTTCTAGATTTATTGATTTAGAAAAAAAAATCACCTGTGTGTTGTTGACAGTAAGAAAAACCCGGTATAGTTGTGCTGACCAATCCATGAGTTGTGTTCTGTTGGGAAATTCTAACATTAATTCACCAATCTTCCCACGATTTACTATGGTCTTCAGTTTTCCTGCTGGTAAATTTAGTCCAATACCTTAGTTTTCCTGTCCTCGGTAGAATATCTTGGTTATGGACAGCAGAACAATTATGATGTTACATTGCGAAGTGAACACGTCTATTGAGGGAGGGAATGACTCGACTCCTTCAGTATATCAGTGGATGAGAGGGGGAGTGTTTAACCTTACCTGGTGTTGTCCTCTGACTTGACGCCTCAGCTACACTGGGGTGATCTGGGGGAGTTACAAGCTGAACCTGTAGATTGTAGACGTAGAAAGTTGATTCACCATCCATGAGTCTGTGTCCAGTGTTTGGAATATTAGATCACATGAAGATTAGCCTCCCTAGCTTATTTCACCTGATGGTTAAACACCTTATCTTCTCCACGTGGTGAGGTGGGGTTAGGACAGGTTAGGTATTATCTAACCCATCCTAACGTGACTTAAACTAACCTATCCTGCCCTAACATGACTTAACCCAACCCAACCTATACACTAATACAACATGAAACGCAATATTTTCACAAGTATTATACAGATTGTCTGATTGTGACACATTCTCTGTAACATTAAATTATATTGTTATTCCCTTATCATTGCTTTCTTGTTCGTCTTGTTTATCAAATGTTCTTATTCTCCCGTCTTCACAGAACTAATAAAAATGTCTTTACGTGTATTGTGGTTTAGCTGAATATATTTTGCATTTGACGATATTTTTCTGATTTTGATGTAGCAGTTTACATTAAGTCTCTATAATGAAACATCAATCTTCATCTTCATCTAATTTGTCTTCGTGTGCTTCACTTTTCTTCTTTTCTTATATTTTTCATAACTGTTTTCCCTTTGTTTTCCATATTCTTATATTTTTATTGGAATTATTTACTCTATTGCGTTTTTTGTTGTTTATTTTATCAGTAATTTCACTAACTTTGTTCCGTTTTTTTTTTTTTATTTATTCTTTTCTGGAATTTATTGACCTTTTTTTCTGAATTTATTGGCCTATTTTTTCCCCATTTATGCATTACAATTTGAACTATTTTCTTCTGTTTCGTTCATTATCACTAGTTTTATTATCATTCATACATTCTTTCTTGTTTTATTATTTTCTGTCACTTCTTCGTTTTTCACCTTTCTCTTCCTATCTCTCGCCATCATCATTACTTTCCTACCTCGCCTCTTTTATTCTTATTTGACGTTTACTTTGGCCTTCTATCTTTAACCTCACGTTTATCCACCCTCTTCCCCTTCCCCCCTTTATCACTGTCTCTGGCTCATTCTCATCCACTGTAAGTTCTATCTTCTATGGTGTTTCAACGTGTTATTCTTCGTTATTATGATTTCTCTATCCCCTCTTCTCCTCTTCTCTCTCAATTCTTTTGTGATTTTTTTTACTTTTCTCTTGCTCCTGCGTTTTGTTTTACTACTACTACTACAACTCCCCACACCTCTATCCCTCTCCCACTCACCCCAGCACTATACCACTCCTCTTCATCACTCCCACTCACCTTCATCACTTTCCCACTCACCTCCGTCACTCTCCACGCACCCCACTCATCCCACACTCCTTACTACCCCTCAGCATGTCTTCAGCAACGGATGATCGCCGAGTTACTACTGGTGACTGAACGTGAGGGCAAAGGCTACGTTCCTCAGTGCCGGGAGAAGGATGGTCTGTATATTCAGCGTCAGTGCTCTAGGAACGGCCTCATCTGTTGGTGCGTTGATCCCGAGGGCAACAAGCTTTCCCGCACACTGGGTGCCGCCCATGAGGTGCACTGCGACAAAATGGGAGGTGAGTGTTTGTTGCTGTTGTGTGTAGGGGTAAATATTCTCTTAATGGCGCCTCATACAGGACTCTGTAACTCTGGTGGAGGAGGAATGTAATGATGTTTGTTATAGTCTATAGTGTTTGTGTTACAGCCTATGTGTTTGTATGTTACAGCCTGTGTGTTTGTGTGTTACAGCCTGTGTGTTTGTGTGTTACATCCTATGTGCTTGTGTGTTAGTCTATGTGTTTGTTAAAGCCTGTGTGTGTGTGTGTGCGTTACAGCCTGTGTCTTTGTTGCAACCTGTATCTCACCTGTAGCAATGTGTCTCATTATCTATCACAGTCTGCATCTCTGTATGTTGTAGTCGAGAGCTTTATCAACGAAAAGCCTTTGGTTCCTCAAGTACGACAAGACACCAGTTATCTACGTGAGAGGGGAGTGTGTGTGTGAGAGAGGACCATCTTAAAGACCTACTCTATTAGGGAGTGTGATGGGAGGTAATGGTCTCCACCCATGAGGGCCATTGTGGCGCCTTGGTACGTGAGGATGATGGGGGGGGGAAGGTGGGTCTGGGAGAGTGATGGGGAGGTGGGTGTGGGAGAGTGATGAGGGGGGAGGGGGTGTGGGAGAGTGATGAGGGAGGGAGGGGTGTGGGAGGTGATAGGGTGGGGGTAGGTGAGAGATGGGGAGGGGGTGAGAAATAGTGATGGGAGAAGGCTTGATGATGTCAGAAGGAAGAGGAAAGTCTCGACATCAGAGGAGACTACAAGGGTGTGGAGGAAATAAAGGAATTCAATGGAGGAAGAGAATGTAACGAGAAAAAAAAAATAGAGGGGGAGAGTAAGGGAGGGAGATGATAAAAATGGAAGGAATTCGTGAATAAACACAAGAAGGAAGAGATAATTGGAGAAGGAACGACGGAGGTGGTGAGAGAGATGGAAATGAAAAGGAGGAAAAAGAGGTAGAGGAACGGGAAGAAGGGGTGGAGAAGAAACGGGAAGTAAGACATAGCTAATAATGGGAAATAAAGAACCATATAAGAAAAATTACCAGAGAGAGAGAGAGAGAGAGAGAGTAATTATCACTACAAATTAACCAAGAGAAACACCATGTTTACATTGTCTTGCTAACTATGGCGAGTGTTTCGAGTAACTTATATATCAACCACAGTATTATTATTATAGTGTTTCAAGATCTAATTTATGATGTTTCTTTAGATAATCGTTATATTAAGGTCATGTAGCCTCATCACAAAAATGAAATTAACTGCCCCGAATCGCTAGTAGGTTGATCAATAGTGTAATGATAAATGAAAATAAATAGATATAATGAGATAATAATGGTAAAAAAAACAAACATATTCAGACTCGATAATTTAGTATTTGATAAAACTTAAAGACCGAAAAATAGAAAACCAAGACAGAGAAAATGTGGAAGAGGCAATACAGTTTACAGGCATTTCCCAGAGCAAGTTTGTCGAAGCGCTCACAGAACTTCCTCTTATTTGACAATGTAAACAGACGATTATAACCCCCGTGACATCGAGGCGCGCCATCATTTGCGTCTATAAACTTCATTTTAATGTGAATAAAGTATTGGATTTTTTTTTATACAGTCAGTTGTTTTAGATTGTGTTAAATTAATCTTATTCATACCTAAGGAGTTTGAGTTCAAATTATACATACGATTAGGTGTTATTAAATACGCTCCAGACAACAAAGTTTATAATAAAGTTTAATTGATATTTAATTTCAGGATATTGCCCAACAAAGATATGAAAGAGCGCGTGTTTAATATTGACAGTGGTAAGTCTTAATGGCGCTCACAGATGACTCTCGCTTATTCCCTACCATACCTAGTTGTACGAGTCTCTTGTATTTATGACTCAATAAACGTCATCGTATATTCTTATATTATTTGTATTGGCCAATAATATCGTATAGACAGAGGCAAGAGTGTACTCGGTGTACAACAATAACTTACTCAACGTACGACTGTATTACCACCCGAGTTTCGACAGTCTAGGCTTCAGAGTTTAGGCAATATCGCATGCGGTGTTTTGTTAATATCGTATGAACTTGAGATACGCCAATAGCCTTATCCTCCGCCGGGGTACAAAATTTCGAGAACGAGATGGAGCAATATTGTTACCAACTTGCAAAAATGTATTGTAGCCAAACTGAATCTTCATACACTCAGAGATCAAGAATATGTTGTCTTGTTCGCCGCTAATGGTGAAGACATATTGCAAGGCGAGACTGTATATACAAAGAAAGTGTGAATCAGTAGACGACAGACTGAATCAAGTAGGCAGTGTGAATCAGAGGAAAACAGACTACAACAGACGGAGATACAGACTACAACAGATACAGACTACAACACATGCAGACTACAACAGACAGACACAGATTATAACAGCCAGAGATACAGACTACAACATAAATACAGATACAGACTACAACAGACAAAGATTCAATTACACAGACAACCTTAACTGGGCAAGAACAATTAATCGTATCGTGGAGAACCAGGAATAAATCCACCGCATCATTAATTTACCTGCCTCCCCACCCCTACCCTACCCCCCTCACCTACTCTCCCACTCCACTCCTCCCCTCTCATCTCAACCCCTCCCATATCCTCCCCCACCCCTTCCCCTACCCCCACCCCTTCCCCTCCTCTCCTTGTCCAACTAACAGGAATCACAGGGGAGGCCAGCTGGCAGGGGTCTCATGTATGTATGTATGTATGTATGCATGTATGTATGTATGCATGCATGTATGATGGGAATATTGAGGTATTGTTGAATATTATTTAAACTTTATAAAGGAGAGAGTGAAGTATATTTTAATCAAGAGTTGGAAGGGAAGTAAGAATAATACACGGTGTGTGATATTGCCAATTGGATTTTATATTTTCGTGGCTGAGGTAGAAAGAGTGACAGAAGGGTAATAGAGTGACAGAAGGGCAATAAGAGTGACAGAAGGGCAATAAGAGTGACAGAAGGGCAATAAGAGTGACAGAAGGGAAGTAAGAGTGATAGAGGAGTGATAATAATGACAGAAGGGCAATAAGAGTGACAGAAGGGCAATAAGAGTGACAGAAGGGCAATAAGAGTGACAGAAGGGCAATAAGGGTGACAGAAGGGCAATAAGAGTGACAGAAGGGAAGTAAGAGTGATAGAGGAGTGATAATAATGACAGAAGGGCAATAAGAGTGACAGAAGGGAAGTAAGAGTGACAGAAGGGTGATAATAATGACAGAAGGGCAATAAGAGTGACAGAAGGGCAATAAGAGTGACAGAAGGGCAATAAGAGTGACAGAAGGGCAATAAGGGTGACAGAAGGGCAATAAGAGTGACAGAAGGGAAGTAAGAGTGATAGAGGAGTGATAATAATGACAGAAGGGCAATAAGAGTGACAGAAGGGAAGTAAGAGTGACAGAAGGGAAGTAACAGTGACAGATCTGATTTGACAGTATAGGGGAGATGCAAATGACTCGACTCAGATGGCGTAATTCAGAAGAAAATTTGCAAGTAGTGATGAAGGAGGTGGGGAAGAGACGGACGGATGGATGGGTGAATAAATAGAAGGCGATAATTAACAGTGAATAGAAACGTTTTAAGTCAAGTGATGAAGCTAAATAGAGAAAGGATACAAGGGAGAAAATGAATGTTAACTTAAACTTGATTATTGGAAATGAGGTGGTTTAGCAAGGTAGATGAGGGTGGTTAATAATACGGTGTTAAATGATTTAGAAAGAGCAGCAAAGGAAATGATGATGTTTATTATGCTGGTGTAAAAAAATGGACGAAGGAGAACAAAAATTGGAAAAGTAGGTTAGGAAAAAAGATTGGATGTAAGTACTAATGTAATCTGTGGCGTGGGAGGGGGTGGGGGCTAATCTTCAGGTGGTCCAAGAGATTATTTATTAATCGTCCCAAACAGATAACAATATCTAAAGTGGAAATATTCGCTCTGTTATGTAAGTAAACAATGAGACAATACTGTCCTGAAGTTGTCCTTAGCATTTAACATTGACCAAGTAGAATGACAATATACTCGAACAGACACATGATAAGTAATCCTAATAATAAAAAAAACTTATATATTTAAAAGAAAATGGTATTTTTATATCATACTTTACTACTTGACAAAATATATAAACACACAAAACACAAATGCGTTGCTTTTGATCCCGCCACCGCCATTGTAACACACAACCTCGCAGATGGCAGCACTCGGCACATACCACTCACCCGCTTACCCTTCTTAGCAACCTCTCGACCCTCCCTTAATCAGCTCAATTTTCTTTTACAGTATCAATGTCACTTTAGGTAATAACCCAAAAGTGATAGAATTATAATTATGATAATAATTATTGGTGTTATAGTCCTGCCACGGTGTAGAAAATATCTGTTTACTCGTGGAGAAACTCGTCCTCTCCACAAGTTTATATGGTGGCCGGTAATAAAGTCACAGGAAAAAAAGTCAGAAAAAAAGTCACAATTTTGGCTAGGAAAAAAAGTCACAGGAAAAAAAGTCACAATTAATTTATGGTGGCCGGTAATAAAGGTTAGGTTAGGTTAGGTTAGGTTAGGTTAGGTTACTGAAACTGATTGACATTAACCTTAAAAAATGTGAGAATTCGATAGTTAACTTTTCTTTTTTTCCTGTGATTTTTTTTCTGTGGCTTTTTTATCTGACTTTTTAACCTGGATTCGTTTATATATATATATATATATATATATATATATATATATATATATATATATATATATATATATATATATATATATATATATATATATATATATATATATATATATATATATATATATATATAAAATGGGGGTATGGAGTTGCCATTACGACTTAATCTCGCTCTCTCTCTCTGTATATCGTCACGGCGGACCTGACATTCACATTACCAATTCCAACCATAGTTTTAAATGCCATTTTAGTGGATTTTGGACGAGCTAGAAAAATTGTGTTTACAAATGGACTGACTGCCAGTGTAGTGAGCGGGGCGGATCACTCAACGCCCGTTTTTATTGCCGTTTTTAGTAGGTCATTCCTGTTTTAACGGGAATTTCCACCGTTGTAAAGGTTTAAAAGAATTTTTTTTAATGGAGAGTAGTTGTTGTTGTTGTTTTTTGAGGGCGGGGGGTTATGTTCTCGTTACTGATTCGTGTTGGTAGCGCAGGAGGTGAGCATTGTTGTGGCCGTGTTACTGACAAAGCTCTCTCTCTCTCTGGGCGTTTTTTCCCCTCCCCCCTTCTTTCTTTCCTTCTGTGGTGTACGTGTAAAATTCTACCTATTCCCCCTCACCTATTCTTCCCTTTCCCCACCCAATGCAAAAGGGAATGTTTTCTTCCTCCACCCCTCCATTTACCTCACCTCCCGTTGTGAGGGGGAGAGGGAAGAGCCTGTGGTATCTTCTTTTTTTCCACTGTCAGGGAGATTAATGGTTTCTCCCTTTTCTTCTTCTGTGAAAGGGACGTGTTCTCTCTCTCTCTCTCTCTCTCTCTCTCTCTCTCTCTCTCTTGTAAGGGAGAGATATAATGTTGCTCTCTCTCTCCTTTCTGTTATGAGGAGAAAGACAAGTCCCTCTCCCCTTCTCCTCTCCTACTTCCCGTCCTCCCCAACTCTCTCCCTAGCCCCTAACTCTCCCTCCCCTAGCTCTTCCCTCCCTCTCCCCTCTCCCGCTCTCTCCTACTTCCCTCTCCCTCCCCTCACCCTCCATGCCCCCTTCTCCTATATATATAGAGTATAATGTGGTTGATGGTATTATTGGCGCCAGCTCCATTAGTAATATGGCGCTGCCTGTTGATTCTCTCAGCTATTGTTTTAAGGCTTCTTTTAGTGCTGACGTCATTAAAAGTTTGGTAATGGACTTTTTATGTTAGTATTTGTAGAGAGCATTAGAGTTTTGAGGTTAATATTAGTGTTAGTTTGTGAGTGTGTTAACCTTGGCTTCATTGTGTTGTGTTGATGTTGGTAACTCTGTGTTGCGCTAATGTTGGCATCACTGTGTTTGTGTTAATGTTGGCATCACTGTGTTGTGTTAATGTTGGCATCACTGTGTTTGTGTTAATGTTGGCATCACTGTGTTTGTGTTAATGTTGGCATCACTGTGTTTGTGTTAATGTTGGCATCACTGTGTTTGTGTTAATGTTGGCATCACTGTGTTGTGTTAATGTTGGCAATCAATTGTGTTGTGTTAATGTTGGTAACTCTGTTTGGTGTTATCATCTCTGTGTTTGTGTTAATGTGGCATCACTGTGTTGTGTTAATGTTGGCATCACTTTGTGTTATGTTGGCATCACTGTGTTTGGTTAATGTTGGCATCACTGTGTTGTGTTAATGTTACATACTGTGTTGTGTTAATGTTGGCATCACTCTGTGTTGTAATGTTGGCATCACTGTGTTTGTGTTAATGTTGGCATCACTGTGTTGTGTTAATGTTGGCATCACTGTGTTGTGTTAATGTTGGCATCACTGTGTTTGTGTTAATGTTGGCATCACTGTGTTTGTGTTAATGTTGGCATCACTGTGTTTGTGTTAATGTTGGCATCACTGTGTTGTGTTAATGTTGGCATCACTGTGTCGCATAATGTGGCATCACTGTGTTTGTTAATGTGGCATCACCGTGTTGTGTTAATGTTGTGTAATGCTTGGCACTGTGTTGTGCTTGTGTTTGTGTTATGCTTGTGCACACTGTGTTTGTGTTGTGTTAATGTTGGCATCACTGTGTTTGTGTTAATGTTGGCATCACTGTGTTGTGTTAATGTTGGCATCACTGTGTTGTGTTAATGTTGGCATCACTGTGTTGTGTTAATGTTGGCATCACTGTGTTGTGTTAATGTTGGCATCACTGTGTTGTGTTAATGTTTGTTTAATGTTCTATGTTAATGTTAATATTAGGATGTACTGTATGTTAGTTACTATGTTTACTCGTGTTTGTGTTGCCTCTGTGACCTTTCGATAGTTGGGGGAGAAGGAAGATGGGAAGAGACGAGGTAGGGAATAAAGAAGAGAAGGGGGTAGAAAGAGAAGAAGGGGGAGGGAGGAAAAGAAGAGAAAAGGAGGGAGGGAGCAAGGAAAAACGAAGCAAAGAAGAGAAAGAGGGGTGAAGAAGGGAGGAGGAAGGGGAAGAATAAGAAATTAAAAATAGAGAAGGAATAAGGAAACACACTGGAAGAGAGAGAGGGAGAGAATAGATAACTTTGCAGATTAAAACGAAAATGGAAGAGAAAAATAGGAAAAGGGGTGGGTAAGATAAAAGGTGATAGCGTATTTGAAGAAAGAAAGCGAGGAGAGAAGGAAGAAGAGAGTGATAATGAGAAATAGGAAAAATAAATAAATTGAATAAGGAAAATAAGTAAAAATAAATAATAGGAAAATGTGAATAAGCCAAAGAAGATGGCGAGAAAATAAAATAAAATAAAATAATAAAGCGTAACTTAGGTTGAAAAAAAATAAACGGCAGCTAGAAATCAAAATAGGTTATCCCATGGTCTCGTAAAATCAACAACAACGAACTTTCAATTGATGCACATTTATTAATCCAAACATTTCAACCTTCTGTTATTTGTCTATCATTTTGACACATGAGAGGAAGGGTAGCATCAGGCGTTACAGTGACACCTGGATCTTTACTCAGGTGAAAAATCAAACAGTATTTATGTACATAATTTCAGTTGGACCGGGCCACTTTTCAGCTCCCAGTTAGCTCGGATTTTCCAACGCGTTTCAACTGCTTTTGTTAGTCAAGTCATTCGAGAAATCTTTTATCATCCAGTATTTTCTCCTTTTATGTTTCTACTGTTTTTAATTTACTGTAATTATTTGTATCGCCTTTGGTTGATGTATAATATATTTATGTAGTTGTTAAATATATCCATTGATTATTGTTTTTCCCTTTCTCTTTCTCTGGATTTTATTGGGATTATTATTTTTCGGGTTTTTCATAATTCCTCTTTTGAGTAATCTTATGTAATCCAGATTTTGTCAGATTTTTTCCTGCAAGCGTTTCATTTTTTCTAATAGTTTTATCCGAGTTTTTTGTTTCCAAAGTTCAGCTTTTACAGTGCCCTTATACATCCTCTTTTTTGTTTATTTATGAATTTACAAGAAACGAATATACTGATACTATTAGTAGTAGTGGTAGTAATTTTATTTATTTTTAATTGACTTTTTAATATTTTACGCCATTTAATGTTTTTGGGATTGTCACGTTGGAGGATAATTAAGCTGTCATACATCATTTAATATTAATTATTGGGACATGACATACTTTAATGAACTGTCTGTGATGTCTGGGAAGAGCTGCAGTGTTTAGTGTTTAGATGCCAGCCAACTTATAAACTGTTTTATGTACACAGTTGTAATATGTTTCGTTGATCAGCAGTTTATGATAGTCAGTGTCTTAGTCAGTACACTATGGCAGTTAAATATTTATACACCTGAGTTCTGGCTGTCAAAAATTTGCCAAGCATAAAACAGTTAAGCATTTATTCATTATGTTCATTATCTTATGGCAGCCATTTATTTGTTAAGTACTTATGGCACTCATATTTGGTCATTATCTTATGACAGGCATGCATACAGTATGTTCAGTACTTATGACAGTCAAATATTTGTTCATTATCTGATGACAATTTTGAATATGTTTAATACTTATGACAGTTATAGATTTGTTCATTATCTTACGACAGTCAAATAGCATAACATTTTAACTTCTGATCCTGTCACTGGTTTTAAACAAACTTTCACTCACTCATGTTGTTGACAGCGGTGGCAGAGGCTCGACGCTCTTGCCAGGGGGAGGTGCTGTGTTCCTCTACCTGTGAGTATGGTTACAAGGTGGGTGGTGACGGCTGCCCCACCTGTGACTGTGACGACCCCTGCGAAGAGCTCACCTGCTCTGAGAACTCGACCTGTGTCATGCGTACCAACCCTGGCTGTGAGGGCGACTCCTGCTCTGCCACCCCCATGTGTCAGTACTGCACTACACCACCATAATTTTTCCTACAATTTATCCTGAAACTAATTATCCTGATGTGTTATAACACAGTTGGTTGGCGGAATTTGGGTACCATTAAGGAACTCTTGTGATATGCAGCTACAGTACAGCAAGTACAATACATGCCCATATTAGTCGGGGTTATATTATAATTTGCAATATTGTAGATTCTTGTGGCTTTTTACGGTTTACGAGAATTTTAATCCTCTTTACCCATTCAGTGGAGTATTAATGTCCTCTACAGATATCATACCTTGTTAGCTGTTGTTTAGCTCTCATATGTTGTTGGACTCACACCTTCGTCCCCTCCCCCAACAGGTTTATCCAACGATTCTGACGAGCTGGTTCACCCGTCCACCACCACTACCACACAGTCACCCCCACCTTCCCCTGCTTGCCCCAATGGCCTAACTCCCTTGTCAGTAGGTGGGGTGGTGGCTCAGTGTGACGATCGCGCCCCGTGTCCGTCTGATCATATGTGCACTCCTCCACCCTCACCCCATGCCCGCCCCGCCTGCTGCCCCGTCGTCACTATTATAGGTAAGTGAGGCTGTTCCGTTTTACTTGAGTATTTGTCACCATGATGCACCTGTAATATGAGACAGATGACGACTGTGAATATCTGTAACTCGTAGATCGAAGTTCAGTCTAGTAATTCTTCCATAAACCAAGAGTGTTGATTACGTCCCAGCATATCATGGGTATGAGTGTAATTCTTCAAGAACTGTGCCTTGGTTAGATAAATATAAAACTTAAGATTTTGTTATTATTATTGTGATGGAACTAAAATAATATATGAGTATGCTATCCTCACCCACGTTATTTCAGTGTACAACAGCTCACATATAATGTTGTATACCTGTAGGTTTTATTTGTGCATGTTTCCCTTGGGTGATCACCTGAAAATTAGCCCCCCCCCCCCCCCCCCGTTTTATTTTGCTAAATGATTATAAACACCCTAATCCTACCACAAAGGGTTAGGTGAGAAAATGGTCTTGTTTATGTTTGAAATTATCATTAAACACAAACAACCACCTTGTATGTAATTATGTCTTCTACTATAAATTGACTATACAGTAATTGTTTACATTATGTTACGTTAGGTTTGCATTAGTGTGTTTAATCATCAGGTGTAGTGTTATTAAGCTGTAATGTCTTCTGTATACAGTACTTGCAGCATCCCCGTAAAGTTGAACATGGGCGAAACTGTAATCAAGGTGGTGAAAGTCATACATGTGAGCAAAGCCATACAGCCTTAATTCATTTACCTCTTGTTGAATGTTTCTTTTCCTGTATGATGTCTGGCTGAGTATTTTATTTTAATCACCAGCAAAGTTCTCACGATCTACAACATATATAAGGATGGAAATGATTGATTATTATTTTTTTTTTTTTTACCTCCTGCAGAAGCGACCAAGCCTGGCCAGTGTCCCTTCGTGCGATCGGTCAGTGACGAGTTATGTGAGGGTCCTCGTTGTGCTGCCGACTCTGAGTGTGGCCATGACCTCAAGTGCTGTGTGGTGCCTAGCTGTGGGCCCTCCTGCGTGCCCCCACAACCACCCCAAAACCTCTCCCTCGATCATGGCCTTCTTCAGGGACCTACGAGTGAGTTGGGGTATTTTTTTCACACTTTGCACTCTATTGATTTTTTGGTTTTCTATACTATTTTTTTTTTGGGGGGGGGGGACGATTAAGAAAACATGTTAGGTTAATTTCAAGGAGAAGTATCCTTAATTTAGAAAGTGAGAGAATGATGATATATCTTACAAGAAACCTTTGTCCTGTTTCACTATTCAGCACATAAGAATAACAACATTTAACCCTCCTGACCATACCTGACCTGTTACCGCAGTGTGTGAGTACTTACGTGACCTGGTGGAGCTGGAGGGTGTGACTCTTGCTGTACCCACACCAACTTGTGATGAAAACGGCGCTTACGAGCAGGTCCAGTGCAACGACCTGGGACAGTGTTGGTGTGTCGACGACTTCGGTACCCAGATCCCCGGCACAAAGTGAGTAGTGTTGTTGACGGTGGTAATGTTATCGGCTCACTGTTGACGGTGGTAATGTTAGTGACTCACTGTTGACGGTGGTAATGTTAGTGACTCACTGTTGACGGTGGTAATGTTAGTGACTCACTGTTGACGGTGGTAATGTTAGTGACTCACTGTTGACGGTGGTAATGTTAGTGACTCACTGTTGACGGTGGTAATGTTAGTGACTCACTGTTGACGGTGGTAATGTTAGTGACTCACTGTTGATAGTGGTAATGTTAGTGACTCACTGTTGACGGTGGTAATGTTAGTGACTCACTGTTGATAGTGGTAATGTTAGTGACTCACTGTTGATAGTGGTAATGTTAGTCAGTGTTGACGGTGGTAATGTTAGTGACTCACTGTTGACGGTGGTAATGTTAGTGACTCACTGTTGATAGTGGTAATGTTAGTGACTCACTGTTGACGGTGGTAATGTTAGTGACTCACTGTTGATAGTGGTAATGTTAGTGACTCACTGTTGATAGTGGTAATGTTAGTGACTCACTGTTGATAGTGGTAATGTTATTGACTCACTGTTGACGGTGGTAATGTTAGTGACTCACTGTTAATAGTGGTAATGATAGCAACTCACTGTTGATAGTGGTAATGTTAGTGACTCACTGTTGATAGTGGTAATGTTAGTGACTCACTGTTGATAGTGGTAATGTTAGTGACTCACTGTTGACGGTGGTAATGTTTGTGACTCACTGTTGATAGTGGTAATGTTAGCAACTCACTGTTGATAGTGGTAATGTTAGCGGCTCAGTGTTGACGGTGGTAATGTTAGCGTCTCAGTGTTGACGGTGGTAATGTTAGCGGCTCAGTGTTGACGGTGGTAATGTTAGTAACTCACTGTTGATAGAGTTAGTGACTGTTGATAGTGGTAATGTTAGCGGCTCAGTGTTGACGGTGGTAATGTTAGCGGCTCAGTGTTGACGGTGGTAATGTTAGTGAATCACTGTTGTTAGTGACTCACTGTTGATAGTGGTAATGTTAGTGACTCACTGTTGATAGTGGTAATGTTAGTGACTCACTGTTGACGGTGGTAATGTTAGTGACTCACTGTTGATAGTGGTAATGTTAGCGGCTCAGTGTTGACGGTGGTAATGTTAGTGACTCACTGTTGACGGTGGTAATGTTAGTGACTCACTGTTGATAGTGGTAATGTTAGCGGCTCAGTGTTGACGGTGGTAATGTTAGTGACTCACTGTTGATAGTGGTAATGTTAGTGACTCACTGTTGATAGTGGTAATGTTAGTGACTCACTGTTGACGGTGGTAATGTTAGTGACTCACTGTTGGCGGTGTATCATAAAGTGTCGTGACAGCACCGAGTGTGAGCTCTTTCATGACCAGACTTAGCGGGTTCAGGTACATTCAGTTGCTGGTGCCTGCCCAGTACTTGCCAACAGTGCGTAACAGAGACGCGACCAATCGGCTAACGAGCCGATCAGTGGTGAAGAGGATAAAAGTAAAGTAAGTATAATGTTAGTGGCTCACTGTTGGTGGTGCTGCTGAGGAACTACAGACATATGGCCAGAGTTTTAATCAACTTTTTCCGTTGAGGGGGGTCGTTTTGTCAACAACTATGGTTTTAAACGTGAAGGACCCCGCACTGCAGCGCACGACGGAAAGTGGGCGGTGGAAAATCGAATTAATAATAATAGAATTTGTAGATGTGGCTAAGACTTGATCTTCAATACCCTTTTCATAACTGTTGTCTTTGTTTTATTGGATATGTATACTAAATATGATTAATGAACAAAGAAAGACATAATGGTAATTTTATATATATATTTTTTTTACATTCATGTTTTTACTTTTTACGTCTGGAAAATATAAACTTTTTCTTTGCCAATTAATGGTATTACAAACTCCCATGTTGATGATCGTCCGTGTACAGTCTTGAAATTGGTGCCAGCGTTAGTAAACGAACACACCTCTGGCATACCAACCTCATGAGTAAGACGACTCATAATGCATCACTGAAGGTGGACAGGCTTATCAACTCTGCCCTCAACAGTCCCGCACGGAGTGGAAGAGGTTTAAGCAATAAAAAATACCGTTTGAAGGAACGTCTCCTACCTACGGGTTCTTCGTGGAAAAGGGGAGGAGGATGATTAAAACTTCGGGCAATAATGACTTAAAACTTTGGGAGATCTGCACAACAACATCATCTGTCGCTGTACTGTACTGTACTGGCTCCAAAAAGAATTATTACAATTTTGTGTGAGACAATATGACATAATGGACGAAGGATTTTGATACCCTACAGGAGTCAGTGTTCATTTTGAAATTCATCAGATCCCTCCGTAAAGATACTTTTAGGATTAAGTGTACATACTTCACCAATTTTAGACGTGCATGGTGATTTGACTGAATAAATGTCCATATGTCTATCTACCTGCTGTGTTGTTGAGAAAGAAAACATGAAGTTATTTCCATTTGGCTCTGTGTAATTCAATAATTTTCCTCATGGCATATTGAACTTGAGACGTGAAAAATATACGAAGGACTCATATTGTTTCTTGTTATCTTTAATATGGTATAATTATTCTCAGGGCATCGTCTCGGGAGTTAGTGGTGTGTGAACGTGTTCGTGCAGCTCTGACCTGTGGTGAGATGCTGTGCCGCCTTGGCTGTGACTACGGCTTCGTGCTGGATCCAGATACAGCCTGTCCTCTCTGTCAGTGTCGCGATCCTTGCCAGGTAAACCGTACATGATTTATTGTATATTTTATTTATATATGTTAAGGTTTTTTTTTTTTTTTCAAAATTGGTTATTTTGCAAAATGACCAGCAAACATGTTGGTAATTTTGTAAAATAATTTGTAAACAGGCCACCTAACCTAACCTTATGGTTGAATAAGGTTAAGTTAATATAGGATAGGTTAAATTAGGATAGGTTAGGAGAAGTTAGGTTAGAGAGCGCTGTGACAGTACTGAGTGTGACCTCATTCAAGGCAGACTTGACCAACACTGGAGCTGTTTCCGATATATTCAGGAGCCAGTCACTGACCCACATTGGGGCCTGGGGGGCGAAAATGTAATAATAATAATATTAATAATAATAATAATAATAATAATAAATAATAGTCATAATAATTCATAATAAATAAAATTTATGATAAAACAAACAAAAATAAAATATTAAAATAATGATGATAATGATACAGTAACTGTAATAATAATAATAATAATAATAATAAAGAACTATAAATACAAAAATGAAAAAAAGATCAAAAGTGAAAAACGATATATGTATGTTGTGTTGTCAATGGTAAGAGAAACAATTGAGACCCTGCAATTGCGTGTAAATGAAGCAGAAAGTCAGATCAGCAACCTGGGACTTGGTCACAATTTTCGTGATGCCATGTGGCAGCAGGGTACCATTAGACAACACATTATGCTTCCAATATCTTCCCAGGCGGTAGTACCTCCCTGTTTGGTAGCTGCCTACTACTTACTGCTTGCCCAGTATCTGCCAACAGTGTTTATCAGAGATGTGACCAACCACCCATGCGGCTAACAAGCCGATCAGTGACAATGAGGATTAAAGTGAAAGTTAACCAGAAACAACTACAGTATCTGCTCTGTCCCTGTTGCACCACACGTGTACACGATGACCTTCCCCAACAATCACTGGGTAGTATATACATCACCTTGGGCAGCTCGCTCGCATTACTGCTTCTTGGTTGTCCACTGTCCTCTCATCTCTAGTGTGTCTCTCACCTCGTTCTTCCGTTTCCCTCCTAATCTTCCCGTATCCCTCCTATTATCTACCTCTTAATAATACTGTATTTTAGAGAATAACTCAAACTTGGCTTAACAGGATGTGGAATGTGCTACCAGCCACATTTGCCAGATGGTGGATATCCCGTGTGTGGATGGTGTTTGCCCAGCCATCCCACAGTGTGTGCCCGTGTTGGAGGCCTCCGCAGTGCCCACTTGCCCCATTGGGGACCCATACACTCTGCCAGAGACTAATGCCACACTGGCCTGCAGTCCCCGGGCCCGTGCCCTTGAGTGCCCTCAGGGCTACTCTTGCTTTGCTGATGACAACACTGTTGAGGGTGTCTGTTGCCCCAGTCCAGGTATGTTCTGTGAAGCTCTGTTCTCTTGTTTTGTTTAACATAATGTATGAACTTCAAATAGTGAATTTATATCCTGGAAGTTTGAGTCCAGAAAAATTTATCCAGAGACATTAAAAATAGAATTATACTGCATTAAGTTAGTGAGTCTTGGCATTAAGGGAGATGAACTTAGCAAATGGTTGACATATTAAGACTGTTGTATGAAGGTTGGATGTTTAATAAATCTATTTCAGTTTTGGTTAACAGAAGATGTATTAAACATAATGTACTAAAACTATAAGAAAAATCACTACAGGTCATTGGTGAAGTACTGTATCATCAACTCTCTCTTTAGGTAACAGCAAGAAAACTGGTCAGTGTCCCTTCCTTGTGCCAGTCTTGAGTGGTAACTGTGACCTGGAGTGTTCTGATGACTCCCACTGCCTCGGTGATGCCAAGTGTTGTAGCAATGGCTGTGGTACTCAGTGTCTCCAGCCCATCATCATGACAGGTCAGTGAAGGAGAAGATTTTTGTATCATCACAGCAGATACTTTTAATTGACTTTATTACTTCATCTTAAGTTGTGTTTCTTCATAATGTGTATTATTTTCAACAAGAAGTCGATGAGTGATTGATTTCTTTAAAATTTATTCTCACATAGTTGTTTCCCTATTTTTTCCAAACCATCTTATACTTTCTTTTCATTAAAACTCTCATCTATCACTGAACATTCTGTTATTTTTTTTGTTTTACTGTAGTATCTTCCTGAAAACTATTCCTCTCCACTTCTAGCTTGTGAACACCAGAGAACCCTGCTAGAACACCGTGCTCGTGAGGCTGGAATTCCTGCTGGACGTGTCTACTTACCTCAGTGTGATGAGGCGGGAGCCTTCCTGCCCACACAGTGTCACCCAGCAACTCTCACCTGTTGGTGCGTCGACACACAGGGACAAGAAGTGCCAGGCACCAGGGTTAGCCAACCGGCACACCCCAATTGCCAGGTTAGTTGAAGTTTGAAATATGAAAATAAAATGTTTTGGATTACAAATATGTTACTAATGTTTGTAAGGTTTGAGCTGTTAATATAGGGACTTCCTCAGTGACCTAAATATTTTTATTTAGATTATTGTATTTAGAAATTATTGTCCTGCTTTACTGATCTATTTTAGGAGGACAGTTATGATATTTCCTTTTTTTTTCCTTTTATATCTGCAGGAGCCTCTTGTGTGTCCTGCCATGAACTGTGACCTTGCATGCCTACATGGCTATAGTCTGGATGCTTCTGGGTGCCCTGTGTGTGCCTGTCGTGACCCTTGTGAGGAGGTGACTTGCGCTACCCCTCTGGAGGAGTGTCGTATTGTTCACGTGGCCTGTGTGGACGAGCCCTGTCCACCCCTGCCTGTGTGCCTGCCAAGACTGGAGAACCCCTGTCCTTATGGTGGGTAAATGCTGAGAGTTGCCAGATTCCCCTGTACTAATTTGTTATACTACCTTCCAACACTGTAAAATAACAGTGATCAGGATCAGATTATTTTAATTAAATAGTATTACAGAATTTCCTACCAAATGTGTTTACAGCCTTGTTAACTAATGAGCCTATAGCCTTACCCACCCTTCCCAAGACCCCATGTTAGCACAGGAAAGCAGACTTTGCCCAGTAATAATGTGTTGTGTCAAGCCTTGTTGATACTTTGAGCATCAAGATTAATTGAACCTTCATTCATGTTTGAGGAGGTGAGTGGGTTTACTGTGGCTGCTTACGGGTGCGCTGCTTGAGGGATGTGTGGTGAGGTCGTGGTGGCAGTTGTTTTTTTACCTAGAGGAGGTGATCTCAAGTTAAGAGGTTTTATGTTTTGGTGCTGAAGGCTGCTTTTGTTTGAGTCAATGAAAGCAAGCCTTTTTTTTGTATACAATTACTTTGTAGTAGAAAATGGATATGATTGGTCTTATTCAGAGCTTCACTATGAAGGTAAACTCCTGCTCTGGTCAGTTAGAGCAACATTTATAAACTTCTTGAACACCCTCAGTTACATCTTATCTCTGGAACTTCAGTACTGCACTTGCTTTACAAATTTGAAATATGAGGTATTGGAGTTTCTCGTGATATTCACCATATCTGCAAAGTTTGTACAAAATGTGTGTCACATCATGTCATGCCCCCTTCATCAACATAGATGTAATGTATGTGTTAATCTTGATGTTAATATTCTGAATTGGTCTTGTCCACTGCCATCTAGGATCACCTCTGAGGATTAATGACAGCGTGGTGGAGTGTGGCCCTGAGGGCAGCACCTGCCCCTCCAGCCACAAATGTCACCTCTCACCCCTGGGTGAATATGCACTCTGCTGCCCCAAGCCTCGTAAGTATTGTCTTTGGTAAGATGATGACGCTCTTTTTCTCCTGTAGTGTTAGATAAGATGGTTGAATTTGTTTTGGTATTAAGTAGATGACATCACCCTTAGAGAGATTCTATAGCATAATTTTCTTCTTATAATCATATGTAAGTGATCACTGTGAAGTATGAAGTAACATATGTACAGTTTTCTCTTGTTTTTGACCTACTGTACTGCTCAAATTGTTAAAATGAATGGTCAGAAGTATCAGTAAGCCATTAAAAGCTTTTATTCCATTTCTAATGTTGATGGAATACAATTTTTTATCCCAGAATTTAAACTTTGGGTTCTTTTCTGGGCATCTTCTTTTTAACCGTATTTACTCATCCCTATTCTTATTCCTTCATCCAGTTTCATATACTCTATGTAGTAGCCTTGAAGCTGTATGCTGATAATACCATACAGTAGTAGTAATTACCACTACCATAATGTAGGAGGTTAAAAGAGTTTCGAATTGCCGTAATACTGAAAGCATGACATACAATATTAAATTACTGATATTTTTAACATGTTTCACAACAAAGCTTAATTGCCTTTGTTGAGTGTAAAATATCTAATAGAGTCAATAGACTTTATAGTTGATACTGTACTTTATTACCTTACGGGTAATAATTTATGAATTGCTCCATTCTCGTTCTTCATTATCTTCTTTCTTTAATAGAATTGATGATTTATCCTTATCATCTGTCTCTTTTTAAGCTTTCCCTCTTATACACATTAACCTGTGAAGTCAGTAGTAAGTCTTACACCATATCCTCTCCTAGGTGAAGTCTGCTATGAGAGGAAAGACTCTGGTTACTGTGAGGGAGCCATCAAACGCTGGTTCTTCAACGCCGAGTCCAACCGCTGTGAGACCTTCCGTTTTGGTGGCTGCGGAGGAAACCTTAACAACTTTGAGACTGAAGCTGAATGTCTCTCTGCCTGTCCAGCTCTCAGCTCTTGTGAGAAAATGAGAGAGAAGAATATCAGGAATGCTGATAAGGAAAAAAAGGTAAAAAGAGTCATAAGTTTAAACATTTAAAGTTATTGGTGGTCAGCCCTTAAGGTTAGTCGAAGGTGAAGATTGAATAGGAAAAATTGGCAAGTAAAGAAAGCTTATAAAACATGTTACTGTAGAGGTGGACATTAAAGAACTAAGTCACCCATTCACAATCTTGCTTACTCCAGTATCCTTCATGGTTGTTGCATGTTTCTGGTGTTGTGGATTTGGAAAGTCACATAAGATGCAGTGGTAGATGTGAAAGAAATTTAAACAACACTAGGCCAGCAAAAATTTCCATTAAAAATTGTTAATTGAAAAGGGACATTACTTTTAGTTTGAAAGAGGTCATTGTAATGATGTGCATGTACTGCTGTTTGGGTCTGAAGTGTGGACATCTGCAGGAGCTATGTGGTGCTACAGGGGATTATTATGGATGACTGAGAGAAAAATTAATGCAGTTTTAAGAGTGGCTTGAGCAATGAGAAAATGGTGGAAATTTATAGAATAGGAAAAATGAGTTACTGCACTGTACTTGGGGAAGAGAGGGTAGAGGTAGATATATTAAATGATGAAACTGAAGGAAGACAGAGATGAGGATGGATGGATGGATGATTATATCTGTTGTGGTCCCCAGAGATATATGCAGTTTAGGAGGTATTGTAAAGTATGCTTGAAAATGTTTAGAGTTGCCAACCCTCAGACATATAGTAAGAATGGCACCAAGATTGCCTGAATGATCACAATGAAAGGAATACGAGTACTGTTGTTAATATAACCTTACCATGTTATCTGTATGTTTTATGCAACCTGACAATGCTATCAACTCTTTTCATCACTGCAGGTAACCTTCATTCCTAAGTGTGATAAGAACAGTAGTGCCTGGCTCCCAGAACAGTGCCTAGAGGAACTGGGTGTCTGTTGGTGCGTGACTCCACAGGGTGACCAGGTACCAGGCTCACTTACCCGTGGTGCCCCTCAGTGTCAGGGCACCGCTAGGTCATCTAGGAGGATGAACTTCGACCCAACTACCCCTACCAATATGAGTAAGTATCTTTGCCAGGGATGGGTATGTGTCCTTGAACACTTTAATTATGTATTTTTGCTTAATAATAAGTACAGTTTAGCTATTGGTGCCTTTATCCAGTAGTATCGTATACAAAATTTACATAGCTATTTAAATGCCTACTATATTGTAATCTTCATCACCTCCACACACAAGTAGATCCCATTTAACATGCTTCTAATTTACTGTTGAATCAAATATTTCACTAATGTAACACTTAAGACAAAGTATTGTACAGGGATGTAAATTGACTCTGACATTTGTGTGTGTTTACAGTAAACTCCCTCTAATTAGGGGGAAGGCCTGACTGGTTTAGCCAAAATTCTGGGTTGGGCAGTGGGTTGAATTGTCTATTTGAAGGTGGAAAATTCGAGAGGATTGGGAGATTTCCATCTCAAGCTACCTAAGAACACCAAATCTACTGTAATTTTTTGCCTGGACTTAACATCCTTGGGGTTTTATATACCATATGAACTTTTTTTTATTATTATTATTATTAGAGCCTATAAGGGTATCAACATCTGTGGAAAAAAGATAAATTTTTCCTCGGTCTCACATACGCTCTCGGCAGCCTGGTGTTGGCTTTCGGTACAGCTGTACTCAGTCAGTCCTTCATCAGCTGGTGTTGCTGGGCACTGTCATATGTCTTGACAACTGTGTGTGCTGTCTCAGTTGTCACACTCATCTCTATGATGTTTCTAACTTAATTAAAAGTGATTTTATAGATTCCAGTATAAACATTCCTTGTATTTTCATAAAAGATTTGAGTTCCCATTATAATACAGGGGACCCCCCCCCCAAATTCGTGGGGGTTAGGTTCTCAAAATGGCCGCAAATCGTCAAATCAGTGGACCGGGGGCACATTTTTACTTGTGTACAAAGAAATGTATATTCCCTTTATGTGTTTGCCCTTAGGACAATTATTTCTTTTACCTGTATTATTGTATACAGTATACAGTATGTGTGTGTAGACAAACGCACACACATACAGTGGTCCCTTGGTTAACGAGCACAATCCGTTCCAGCAGGTGGCTCGTTAACCGAAAAACTCGTTAACCGAAACCATTGTTTCAATGGGTTTTTGGGTAATTGGTTCCAGCTCACCGAAAATTGCCTAAATTCAACAAAAAAGGTAGAAAAGTGCACTTACTTTGAGGTGTGTATGTAGAAGGCTCCTGGATGATGATGATGATGATGGGAATTAGAATGGGGGTGGAGGAGAAGGAAGAAGAGAAGGCATTGGGGTGGAAGAGAAGTCACCCCATGGCGCCATTTCACCCATAAAATTTTAACTCTTGGTGTAATTCAAGATTATTTTCTTTAATTCAACACTGCACTGCATTATATATTGTCAATATGTAAAATATATTTCAAAATGACCAATAATTTGCTTGGAAACACAGAAAAAAAGCGTTTAGTTGAAGAGAGTCTCAAGCAAGATGTTACCTCCAGTGAAAACAGAGAGAGACTAACGCCTGTTTGTGTGTTAACAGGCTGGATGGCACGCCAGAAACTAGTTTCTTTACCTTCAATTATGTTCAATAATTGTTAAAATGACTAAAAAAGTTAATATTAAACTTTTAAAATTATTGAATAGTATAAACTTCTTGATATTTACTAAAATAGTAAGGAATTTAAGCCCTAAAACCGATTACTGTATTGGCGGACTAATACTACAGCTGGTGGACCGCCAAATGCAAGCGAAAACATGTTGAAGTCGGCTCGTAAAAAACTCGTTAATCAAGGGATTGCTCGTTAACCGAAGTTAAGAATCTTATGGAAGGTACCGGTAAATCATTAACCGAAATCTCGTTAACCGAGGGACCACTGTATATACAAACACACACAAAACACATACAACACACACAAAACACATACAAATAAATAATACAGAGTAATTGGAAAATCCTCTCACAAATAATCAGAAACAAATTTATAAAAAAGTGACAGTCTACCCTCAAATCCATGCTCTATTAATAAAGTACTGTTATAGAGTATGGTCTCTAGAATGAATGCCTCCCTGTCCCAGCCGCAAAATTGCCGGCAACTTTAAAACTACCCACAGACATTCTTGGGTACATCCAGGGTGTCATCTGCGAATAACCGAGAACCGCAAAGTAAAAATCCGCTAAATTGGGGGTCACTGTATCATGTAGAAATATTTTGTTGCATCTTTTTTTTTTATCAGTCTTGTAGAGAATTTATTCAGCATCATTATGGTATAAAATTTATCTTTCTAAAAATTAGAACAGGTGCCATGGATGAAAGTTTATACAGTCATTTTTTTTCACTAGTTGTAAATATTTTCACTCATGGCAGCAGCCTGATATAATGGGAGAGTGATAAGAGAATCATACACAGCAGAAGAGTGTTTTTTATGGTATACATTATTACTGCACTATGATACATCTGTTGATGAAAAATAGAAGCACATAGTATAAGTTAATAATAGAGTATACTGTATTTCTTATTAAATTATCATGAGGCGGTTGAGTCTTCAGGTGATGAGGCTGTTGAGGCAGTAGGTGATTGTACGGCACTCTCAATGTATGCCACCAAAGGCAGAGTGGAGGTTATGCTTTCACTGCTAATATCATTGAATACATGTACTGTACACTATTCATATTTCTTAAACACTAATACTGCCTCCTTAGAGATAGCTGTTGAGTACCCTCCTATGCAACCACAGTGGCAGTACCCACTTACACGAACTTTCCCCCATACTAACTGGATTTTGGTTGTTTTCTCCCGGGTTGGGGTACATGTGTCTGGTGCTGGACCCCAGTCTGATTTACAAGGGGATCCGGATTAAGCAAGTCCGGTTTAGAAGGAGTTTACTGTATATTTATGCCATGTTTATCATTCAAAACAAATTTTTTCTTTCTTTGATATTATTGTACTGTACTGTGAATTATATGCTTAGTGAATTATATACAGTACTTGTTGATAATCATTATAATTTTGCAGTCTGTGAGCCGGGTCAGACGGTCCATGTGTGTGACAAGAGCTTATGTGAGAACCAGGTGTGCTTCTCTCACCCACACGCTGTGTGTCGTGTTAATCCATGTGGTGGCTGTTCTGTCCAGTTTGTTGATGAGTTCAACTCCCCAGTAAACTGTGAGGTGGGCCTCACTGAGTGCCAGAGAGAACTACAGCGAGTTCTTAACTCTCCAATCTTCACCAGACCTTCAATGGCTTTCTCAGGTAATTATCAGAGGTTGTGTATTCCTAACAGTAACACAAGAATTAATGATGAAACAATATATCTCGGTAACTTTAGTTGAATTAATGCCAATAAAGCACATGAAAGCTTACAGAAACTCAGAACTGTATGCATTGTGTAAATATCTGACATGCAGGAGACAGATACAGGCTGCAGTTTCTCTTTATTGAGAACATATTTAACATTTATCACCTAAGCATTAACACCATGATATCTGTACAACTGATGATGGATAAATAATATGATACAACATAGTTACACCTTATACTTTTATATTATGTTCTCCTCTTATCTGTGCACTTATCTCAGTGTTTTTTGTATTTTACAACATTTGCACTGATGTTTCAGGACGTACATTCCCCACTTCACACGCTGATCATCAGGTGCACTATGATGTTGACCTCTTCCGTAACGTGGACGTGTATCACGCTCGTCCTCTTGACATGGATGCTGTTTCCACTTCCGAATCTCGTCGTCGGGGCCGTTATGTAGACGTTGATCCTTCCGGAACACTGACAGTGTCTGGGGATGTTGTTATTGAAGCTCAGGAACATTCCAGGCCTGTTCGTGCTGTAGCTAAGGTGGGAACCAGAAAGGCACTTTATAGAGTAATGAATTTGTTATAGTTTTCTGAAGGGGGCTTACAGCAACCCCCCGAAACCCTCCAGCTAGCTTGGCTCGCTGTGCTCACCATGTTTTCCCATCCACAACTTCTTGGACCCCCTTTTTTTTTTATTCCTGGATCTGTCCATGAACCTCTGTTTCCTGTAAGTTTAAGAGATCACTCATCCTTTTTCTTGCCATAATGAGGGGTTACTTTCCTGTTGATTGATCAGCAAAACCAGCCCATGAATGTGAAAATGGATCAAGCTATGTAAAGTGAATGTTAAATACATTCCAGACAGTATGGAGAAGGAAACTCTTCTTTTACATATATATCAACATCAATATTCAATTGAAATATTTTTGGAGTGTTGTGAATGAGATTGCATATGTTTGATGTGGTTGTGATGTCAAACAGTTGTTTATGGACGATAAACCGCAGGTGGTAACAGGTGGTAGTAGTGAGGATGACGTAGCAACTTTGTTTTATTCACGTACAAAATGAAAAGGAATCTATGGACATTGTACCACCATTATTCCTGAGAACCCATTTAATCCCTTTGCTATGGGGAAGCCACTTTCATTATTTTACTTAGCCAATGCCAGACAGTTTTATTCGGCAGAGTGAACCCTTACATAAGTGGTTAGTCAGGTTCTAACTTTCTTTCGTCATGTCATTCAGGTCTGGCTTCTTCTCTGTTCACTTGAAGCTTTCCTTGACCAATCTCTAGTTTGACCTCTGTTTTGAAAAGATTAAGAATGAAAAGGAGCTTCATAGAAAAAACTAAAAAACTGAGGGACGAAAAAGATAAATGCCTTTTAGAACTTATCTCTACATTGAATATCAGATAAATAGAATAGTTTTGATTGAATTTTGCTTGTGTAATAGAAACACTGTTTCATCCACTTCCTCAGGACGCAGTACCTGAGTCACCCTTAGTGGAGTCTACACTAGTGGATCCTGATGACCTGGCCCGACACCTGGCAGGTCCTCTTAGTACTACCATTGATGTTTTCCCCAGTCTTGAGGATTACCCACCAAGACTCACCCTTGATGACACCTTCGAAGCTGTCCCAACTGAAGGTAATGAACCAGGACATCTTGAAGTATAGTCTATAAATTAGAATACAGTAATAATAATAATACATAATAGTGATAACAATAATAGATTTTCAGTAAAATTACCATACAAGTTTACAATTGGTTTGGGATGTATATAGACTATGCAGGTACTAAACAGTTCAACTTGTATAGAGTTAAGGTATAAAGCAACAGTAAACAATAAAGCAATTTGACCAAAGATGACGACAAAGCCATGATGTATTGTGGTGTTACGATATTGGTTCATGTACTTCCCAGACACTATATGCAATTCTTAGTTTGTCTGTCTCGTCAGCTTCTCTTTACAACACTTTATTTTACACATTTCATCTTTATTTCCTCTTCCTTCACCTAGCTATTAGAATTTTTACTCTTTATGATATACAGTACAGTACCTTATAAAGGATTTGTTTGATAAATACTGAAGTCTTCTTGCTTGGCTGTATAGGGTGTAGAGGAAGGGTCAATTTAATATTCATATATGAAATGCCAGATGCTACACACCAATCAGTTGTATAATAACTTAATCGACAACACCCAGTCTTATGGCTTTTGTTGATTAAAATCTTTTGTTATGATTCCTGCATCTGAAAAAGAAAAAAAATAGAAAAACGTTGATTTTATTATGGTGTGTGGCCTATGAAACACCTTGTACAATCTGATCTGTGATCTGAGACACACTATACAGTTTGATGTGTGAACTATGAGACACCCTGTATGGTGCACCACCTATGAGACACCCTGTACAGTATGGTGCACCACTTATGAGACACCCTGTACAGTATGGTGCAGACACCACCCTCTACAGTATGGTGCACCACTCCTGATCACACCCTGTACAGTATGGTGCACCACCTTTGAGACACCCTGTCTAATCTCATCAGTTGGCACCACAAGATTCTGGTACAGCTGAATGCCTACAAATACAGTCCTGAGCTTCACATAAAAAAAATGGTACAGCGGTAACATGCATATATCTCTTCAACATGTCAAGGGTTGGGGTCATGCTTGGCCCAGACACACGTGGGAATGGTGTCATCCAGTGTGACCCTCACTACCAAACATCACAGTGTTTTGAGGTCAAAGGTCTTAAGAACCTGTACACTCTGTAGGGATAATGGACAGTGGGATTCTGACCTGGACTCGTGTGAACCCCCTTGATCACTTTGTTGTTTTTATGCTTGATAGTTTATTGTTACTATTTGGGGATTATTTATGAAGTTTTGACAAAGAATTTCATGTATTGGACATTTTTATCAATACCATGTGTACAAATGGTGTTTATAGCATCTGAGAGGTGAACTCTTCAATTTAATCTGATGTCAAAGTAGATCACCTGTTCTTGTGTATATAGCACTATCAAGTCTACGGACTTGGCGCACCCTCATTCAACTAGTATTTTTGTGATCTTTATTCTGAATTATTTCTAATTTTAAGATTACAAAAAGTTAGACCAAGTGTAAGTTATTTCAGTAGTTCATAGTGATAGTTAAAACAAATTCGTTAATAACAACATAGAATAAGATTGCTGTTTTACGTAGACTCTTATGTGAACTAATAATAACTTGGGTGAACGGTAGGTCCCACATTCTTCTCATATCTGTTATAAGAGAGAATTCTGTCAGTCTAACCTCAGGTAGTAGCTTCACTTCTTCTGTAAGTATTTTCTTGTCCTGTTTATTGTCTCTTGAAGAGAGTCAAAACCACTATAAAAAAGGTTACAGAATGTAGAACATGATTTCCAAGTCTAACAAGTAGACAGTCATACTTAGTCTCTGTTTAAACTTTTGACATTAGGAGTAGCCATATTTAAAATGTCCCAATCAGATCAACTATTTCTTTGATCAGTAATTTGTACTATGGTAAAGTAGTGATGATGAACATTTGTATTATCTGGTACCTTAGATTATCTACATAGGGGTTTTCTGGCTAAAATACCTATTGTGGGAAATTATGCCAGCAAATAATAATTTTAGTACTATAAAATATTGTACACTAACTCCAAAAAGTATGTTTACGATTTTGTGTGAGACAGTGTGTTACAACAGACGAAGGATTTTGACAACCCTACCGAGACAACATAAAGATACTTTTTGGAGTGAGTGTACACATCAAGGGAAGCTGTTGAATAGTTTGTTAGAAATAATTATTCAGTAAGAGAATGAAAATTTCCTCTGAATAAATATGATTAAATTGCAAAGGATGTTTAGAGACATTACATAGGAGAGGATCATGTACAGTCACCCACAAAAATCTTGTTGCCTCTCCTGAACCATGAACCCCAAGATTCAGACATGTGAACCCAAAGCAGTAGACACATGCATTAATCTGTCCATAACTGCTTTAATTTCACATGTCTGAGTCTCGGGGTTTGTGGTTCAGGAGAAGAGACGACAGGACTTTTGTGGGTGACTGTCATAACATTGGCTAACAGTAGAGAAATTTGAAATACTGTATGAAGTTCAGAAATCTATTTGTCAACTCATTTAAAGACTTTTACTTTCAATTACTACACGGGATTCTGTTAATGTTAGTTGGCTCCTTTTCTTCCTTAGCTTATGTAATTTTGACTAGATTTAGTTAAATAATCACTTGCTGTGTCATCATTGAGAGAATTGTGATCTGGTTTAATGTGTAGTACAGTACTCATTCCTGGGGGCTAAAACTAGCATAATCTACAAGACTTTTCTTAAGGTATGATCAATAGATTCCTTTGTGGTATTAACTGTTGCATTTACCACCAAACATTTCTTCTCCCTAATTAATATATATTGTCTTAATCCTTGAAGTATGGCATAAAACCTGGTAGGATTTATTAATGTAGTGAAATGCCTATTTAACAGACTATCGAGAGAGAGGTCTGTTATATCGAGGGTCCATTACCTGTGAAATCTCCATCTAACGAACTATAGAGATGAAAGTCTGTTAGACGTGAAACATCCATCTAACGAACTCATATACTTAGAGATGAAAGTTATATGTAGCTATAAGTTTGTTATATGGGGGTCTCACTGATGATCTTGCATGATTCTTAAGCCTTTGGGATCATGTTCTAGTTGATGTATAGTATATTGAGTATAAATATTATGCACTGTAAATAGAATAAACATTAGGAATTAATACATTACATATCAAGTGTAAATTAACAGACTCATAATTGACTCTTTTTTTTTATCAGTCACACCATATTACCTTCTACTGTACAGTACACCGAGTTCCATGGAATGTTGAATTTCCTCAAAAAATTCCCTTTGTACACACAGTAAAAAAAGTACCGCGTGGATTTGTGTGAAACAATATAACACCACGGACGAGGGATAGTGGAATATGTGTGTTGGTCCTGTATTATGGTGGTAGCCCTGCTGTCCTTGCCTGAGGGTGTCCTCACATATCTATTGCTAACGACATATCCTGCCATATATATAAGTGATGGTGTAACTGAATATGAACACATCGGGTGATGTATGGATCATTACGCAAGTCAGCAGACCCCCCCCCCCCTGCACGATACATTTGTTACTGTGTACAGTACATCGCTTTATGCTGGAGATATGATTTAAGAAAATGGGACTTAAATTGTGGCCTACTGTACAAGGATTCAGATGGTCAAAAGTCCAGTTCTATTCAACTAAGGAGAAGTGATTTTGAAGGTACAGTACTGTACAGTACTTTTCTGAGAGGAGAGGGGGGGGGGTGAGAGGAAATATTAGACATTCAAATAAATTTGAATATTATCATACAGAAATATTCATAGTCACCAGACCCAGCTCACAGAGGGTCATATTATACAGTACAGTAGTACCCCGATTTACGCGGTCAATTGAACCCATGGGGTACCGCGGAAAGTGAAAACCGCGTAAAGTGAACAACAGAACATATGGGATTAATTCCAATAGAGACTGGCCCGACCCCCAAACTCCACTTTTTCAGACACAATACCTACGTTGTAGTAAAAATTATATCTTAATTTTATGATGGTATGCACACACAATTAATAATTAAGAGAAATATCAATAATATTAGTTTTTTTAACACTTACATTAGCAGAAAAGATGGCTGGGCACACAGGGATGGAGGGTTGGTTCTGAGGCAGAGGGCAGATTATTGGCCCTCACCTGTATCACTTGTATCAATTGTATCACTATCCACCACATAGGCTTGCAGGGCCTCTTTTTCAAACCCCTCAAAGTCCATATAAGTCCATATCCTCACTATCACTGTCACTGACTTGGGCCGGCTGTGGTGGGTGGCGGGTGAAGAACTCGGTAATGTTTTGATGACTGGGCGACCTTGTGCACATCCTGCCCGCGCCACTTCCCGCGTATATGAGTAGATGCACCGCGTAAAGTGAAAGTCCGGTTCTGGCGAGGTACCGCGTAAATGTGAAATCGCGGAAAGTGAAACCGCGTAAAGCGGGGTATTACTGAACTGAAGAAAACACAGAAACTGGAAATGGGAAAAGAATGGCTTCAGGAGTAGCCAGGAAGTGAGGGAACTGTCCTTAGAATTTTCACACTTGGGGGAGCAATGCATTTGTTGTGTTGGCAATGATCTCATGACAGTCATTCATGTTAATAGGTGAAAGTCAAAGATATACAAAGTCTACTTTCCTTTTTTATATGCATCTAAAATATTTCTGCCATAAAGAAATAGAGAAAGATATGAAAATTAATTTGCATATACAGTTCTGGGTAACTGTCTTCATTTTAACACCCATATCACTTTCTTATGATGGATAGAATGCGAGTTATGACCAGATGAACCCCCAAAGGACATGGTTTGCTTGTTTTCTCAGTCATATTTTAACTAAGTGACAGAACAAAGCAATTTTGATTGAGTCAATGTTTAGTAAAACACATTTAAAGTCATTTATGTGAGAAGATGAGTTACACTTGTTATGTACTGTAGTATTGTCTCAAATGTACTTAGGGCATGATTCTGCTTGTGTTACTCACTAGGAAAGATGCTTGCATTCTAGTAAGTTTAACATGATGCTGCATTCTGTTATATAGTGTCGGCAAAACATTACCTACTGCATAGCAAAAAACAGTAATTTCTTAGTGCCTTTGTTTTTGTTTCAGCACTCACAAAATTCAAGTTTTCTACACATTATTGTTAATTAAATTACGTATCTTCTCTTTGTTTTTCTCTCATATACCACATATGGTATCTCTCTGCTGGGTGTTATAGTGCATACTATATGTGACTGTAAGTGCATTTGATATTTATTTATCAGAATGTACACTGTGAAAATGATCAAACTGCACTATAAAAATTATTATTCTTTATTACTTTTACCAATGTATTATTTTAGATTTAAGTTAAAGATTGTTTACTAAATAATTCTAAAAAAAAAATCTGTTTGGCTCAAATAAGGTTTTTTTTTTTTTTTTTTTTTTTTTTTTTTTTTTTTTTTTTTTTTTTTTATGTATAAGAAATAAGAGTTTTTAACTGGTTTATATACTTATTGTAAAGCAGAGAGTAGCTGTTGTTATCCAAAAGACTAATTGCTTGAATCACAAGTTTTTTTGCCCAGGATTTTTAATCAGCATGTTAAAGTGTGAATGTTTTGAGATTCTGAATGAAATTGAATTCTGAAAAATTTGCTTGGAATACAATTTGGTATCTGTTAGTGCTCTCACAGTCCCCCACAAGTATGTCCACAAGTAATGGTCACCTGCATGGCTTGTTGTATAGATCTGGTGCCCAAGCCTGGTACATGCCCGAGTCCCCCCAGCGATCTCTCCCTCCTGACCTGTGTACCCAGCCAACAGTGCATGTTCGACACCCATTGTGAGGGATCCAAAAAGTGCTGCTTCAATGGTTGTGGGGCCATGTGTGTTGAACCCCAAGGTGGGTAAATACTCTATTACATTCTCACTTTGTTTATTTTCCTCGTTTGTTTTTGTATTGTATTACAGTATACTGTACTTGTTTATGATACAGCACCTGATATCTAGATCAGCAATGACTCTTATTCTGTGAGGTGAGTAGGAGTTAATATATTTGACTGATATAAATATTTTATTGAAGGTACAGTACAGTATAGTACCCCTGTTTAGTGAAAATGTTTAAGGAGATACTTATACTGTAGTCTTCAACACAATCAAAATTATGTGCATCACTATGAGTAGTACAGTACTTATGTGAAAGGAAACTGATATATAGAAGTTTATGGCAGCTTATTCACACGTGAATATATAATTATCTCTTATTACCCGTCCCTCCATATAAGTTATAATTGTTTAGTTATTAGTCATAAATACTGTAACACCATATAACTCAGGCTCTGTACATTCCTACATCACAGCTGATGCTCTAAAATTAAAGCCATCACCCAAGCGTGGCTGTACAGTACTAAACATTCCTCAGATAAAAACCATATTTTATCCACACAAGCAATGCAAGAATTATTCATAATTTAACATTCATTCTCATTCACTGTATACTTATGTTTTACCTTTATAGAGACTCCTGCTTCAACACAAGGCATGACAGTGCAGGCCCCTGTGTGTGAGGCTGACGGAGCGTACGCTCGTGAACAGCGTGCAGGAGGCCTCACCTGGTGTGTGGACACAAAGGGTCGTCCAATTCATGAGACTCTCACCCGTGGCCATGTCCGATGTGGACCAAATGGTGAGATACAGCTCAGGTGTTTCTCATCTTCCAGTAAAATACAGATTGTTACTTCTCAGAAACAAAAAAGCTACTTGTATTTGTTTTGGTTTCAACATAGTATGGTACAGGTATCCCTCAAGATACGAATGGGTTAGGTTCCCAAAAAGAATATTCGTTGGGTGAATTTACATACCATGAATATATAAACGTATGGGAAAAATAAGGTTTGGTTTGCCAGTGACAAAAATACCCCGATATTATGCCTGAAAAACATGAAATCGGTTCATAAACAAGAACAAAACATACTAACTAATGATAAATAGTACACAACTACTCTAAATTATAATTTTTTACCTAACACATGAAAAAAATTATTAAAATACTATATAACTTTGGTACATTATCTTATGGGGGGGCAGTCTGGGCTCACCACAAGGGGTGAGCAGAGGTGGGCAGGGTAAGGGCCTTACTCAGCAAGATGAGGAGGACTGTCCACCTCATCACTGTTGTCCAGCTGCTTGTTTGATCTCAGCATGCTTGTAAATTGTGGTCACAGTAGAAGCAGCCAGACCAAGATCTTTCCCAATCTTGGTAGAGCCATTACCACGTTCAAGACACTTAATTACTTCCAGCTTTGTCGCAAGAATCACAGCCTTTCGTGGTTTCCTCAGTGTAGTACGGGTAGTCGAAGATTCAGCAGAACGCTTGGATGCCAAAGCGAAAATACTGTACTGTAGTAACAAAAGGATTGCATGAATATACACGGATAAAGAGAAAGATTACTTCACACAACAAATAGCGGGTGAAAGAACACAGGCTTGTGGGAGATGCGGGAGGGAGGGGAATATGATCAGTGAACAAGAATACCTCTCTGCCCATCTTTTCCTAAGATGGCTGTGCCAGCTGACTCCCAGTACGGGAAATTTGAATTTTTTTCTAGAGCCAAATTCATGTAACTGGGGGAAAGTTTCAGGTCTTGAAATACTGTAGTGGTATCAATTTATGAAATTCAAAAAGTAAATTCATATCACGGACATTTGTATCATGAAGGATAGAGAGAAACTGTGTACACTACAGCAGGCCCTAACAATTCGCAGACCTCGATTATTCACGGATGACACCTAAGAATGTCTAAGGGTAGTTTTAAAGTTGCTGGCATTTTCGCGGCCAGGACAGAGAGCCATTCGTTCTAGAAACAGTAATTTCTTTTACCTGTACAGTATTGTATATGTGTGTGTGTGTAGACACACACATACAAATAAATAATAATGGGAAAATCCTCTCACACATAATCAGAAACAAGACAACAAAATGTATTAAAAATATGAGTCTACCCTCAAGTCAACCTCGTGCTTTGTTAACTTTAAGAGCAAAGCCAATTTTTTTGCACACAAGTAAAAATGTACCTTCTTCCCCTGGTCAGCTAATGTTATTCACGGATTTGGCTATTCGCTGCCAATTTGAAAACCTAACCCCCGCAAATTTTAAGGGCATTCTGTACTGTACAGTAGAAGTGTTACCTTCCTTTATTAAGTATTCCACAGATTTCTGTACAGTACTGGGATTTAATAAGATTCGTTCCTTCCTGAGAAAAAATCGAGAATGTAAGAGAAAAAACTAATTTGTAGTATTTATGTTTAAGTAAACTTGTCTATACATTTCATAAATATTGTGAAGGAAATTCTTAGACATTTCAGAATTTTTTTTTTTTTTACATTTTCTGAATTGAAAAGTTGGACTTTGCGTGAAATACTGTACGTCAAATGTGTCTTCAGGTCAGATTGTGGAGCAGGTATCTGTTGGGTTTGTATGTCCTCGCGGTGTGAGGGCTCGGGTGTGTAAGAATGAGTGCCTTCATGCCTCCTGCCACTCTCACCCTGACGCTGTCTGTGTGGCTGACCCATGTAATGATTGCCGTGTCACCTTCTACAGGTTGGTGCTTTACAACTTTCATTACTGTCTTAAGATTATTCTTCACAATTGTTGGACTTTTAATGAACTAATAACTTACAACTAATTATTACTTTACACAGAGGATTAATATTTATCTCCCCCTTCAATGTCATGCAATGATTCTTTATAATGATTTAAATATTTTATGTCATGTTACATAACCTTATACAGTACAGTACAGTACAGTACTCTGAATTTACCCATACAAACATCCACACAATACAGTATTATAATGTCATTTTTCATGCTTGTTTGTTAAATTACCAAGTGGCCTGGGTATATTGGTTGATATACAGTACACATGCTTTCATACGGGTATTTTAATGTTACCTCCTGTTTACACTTTTTTCCATGCTGAAACCCCCAATAGAATTACATAAAACTCATAAGTATTTCTCCACATCAGTGCAAGCGGAGAGAAAGTTCACTGTGAAGGAAGCTGTTCTCAGCCCCTGGCCAGGGGTATGTGTCGCGCCTCATTCAAGCGTTACTTCTACAATGCCACTGCTGACCAGTGCCAGGAGTTTATCTTTGGTGGGTGTTTGGGCAATGATAATAACTTCAACTCCATGGAAGAGTGCCAGGAGGAGTGTCAGAATCCAGGTAAGGAAAGGTGCAGGTAGAGCTGTTGGCACTTAACTGAAAACTATAAATCCAGGGCTGAGGAAAAGTAGTAAGGCAAGTTTAATTTAGGAAAAACAAATTATAAATTTTAAAGTGAAGCAATGGTGTCATTATTTTCAAACAAAGAAGAATATATCTTAGTTGTAAAGACTTACCATTGTGCCCTCAGATATCTGCAACCAGTCAGTACAGGCCGGTGTGTGCTCAGGAGGGGAAGCTCGATGGTATTACAACACTGAGACACGAAAGTGTGAGCCTTTCCTGTACAGCGGCTGTGGTGGTAATGGTAACAACTTCAAGAGCAAGAGTAGATGTGAGGCCCGTTGTCCAAGTAAGTAAATGCTGCCTGATGACCAACTCTCATGACTTGGCCTTTTTAATTTTATGTCAGTCTCTATGTATCAACTTATATGGAAAGATAATTTAGTCATAAGAACCTTTCTACAGTATACAAAATCTAATAACATTGTTATTTGGGTTTTTTCTTCATTTTTTGGTGATATACAGTAAGGAACTTTTTTGATAAGAAATGAAGCATCACCATGCACTGTACAGTAATAGATGTATCCGTGCCTGTACATCTGTTTTCATGTTACACAACATTAACACACTATGTTGTGTCCTCAGACTTTGTGCTGTGTCCTTATTGGTCAGCTGCCAGTATGGAACCTGTTCCTTGCTCCCGGGCCAAAGCTTGCATCAATCAGACATGCCATGGTCACCCAGATGCCATATGTGAAGCTGATCCATGCACATGTACTGCCAACTTTGTTGATCACCAAGGCCGATTTGTTAAGTGTCTGTCTCCTACTGAGCCACCCAAAACACGTCTTGCTTTTACATTTGAAGAGGTATGTCTTGCTGTTGAAGACTCATCAAATTTTTTATCAGACTTTAGTACTGTACTTACTTATTATTCGATTAATGGAAACAATTGAATGAAGTTAACTCTATCTTTGGCCTTTTGTGGAAGATTTCTGTAAGCAACAAATAATGTAGTGGTATCCTGTGCGGTTTCTAGTAATCCTACACATTCGCCAGTCATCTGATTCCTTAAACCTAAGATGAGATTTTTTAGTCTTTAATTATAGTTCATGAGCATTATTTTGTGTGTAATAATCTGATAGGTTTTGAAAAAATATAATTGAGATTTTCATTATTAAGTACGGTATTGTAAGCCAGCATCCTTGCCGTACAGCAGGAGTCTAGCAGCAGTGACGGTGACAAGACTGAAGATAAAAACAATCACGACATTGAAGACAACCTCAATGAAAGTGGTACTAAGAACAATGGCCCTGTGACCATCTACCTGGAGGGCGAGCCCACCCTAACACGCTGTCAACTTCTCCAGCGACATCTTAAGGAAAATAATTCTCTGAAGTATGTAGCTCAGTGTGATGAAGATGGTCGATTCACCCCCACACAGTGTTATGCACCTTCTAGTGATGAACAGGGATTTACAGAAGCACCCAAGTGCTGGTGTGTGGACGAGACAGGACACAAAACACAACCTACTGTATACTTCAGCCGTGGAGAAAGAGAATGTGGTATGTCATTTGTTTCATTTACAAAATTACCAACACCGTATTGGTTTTTGGATATACAAACTGTATTTAAAATGCCAGTTATACTATGCATGTTAATTTCAAACCTCATTTTTATAAGGTCTACCATGATTGTACACTAACTATTTTACTAGTCACTCTCCAGAGAAAGAATGTTTTTTACCAAATAAATAAACCTAATCTATTTACCTTGTCTTTGAGCACAAGTGGTCATTAGTTTATATTTTTGCCAAAATTTCATATAATGGTATTTTTTGACAAGCTGGTTAAGGATATGGTTTCAAAAATTCCAATTCAAATAATAGGTGTTAAATAATGACCCTTGAAATAATTACAGTATAACACATTTAGAATACCATATCAGTATTTCAGGGCAAATAGCAATTAAGCATTTTGCACAAGGACTTTTAATGGATAGACAGTACAGTACAAACTTTTGATAATATGTCTGACAAAATAAATGTAAATGGGGCAAATGGTAACTTAATTCCATTGGTTTTACAGACCCAGTGGCAGTAGAGTCAGTGGTAGTAACATTGGGCTTCCGAGGACGCGAGGCTGGTGTAAAACATCTTGGTAAAGCTAAGGGCAAAGAGATAAAGGATCAGGTATGTTATAAAAACTCGGTTTTAGACACGATGTTAATGTCATATGAACATGGTATTTGATTATGATGCACTAAGTTTGAATCTTAACAATTACATTATATAGTAGAACGTTGTTATAACACGAGATACGTTCCAAGATAGGTTGCTTTAAACCGAATTCTCACTAAATCGAAGTGTTGTTTAAATGGATAACTGTAATTCAGTTTGGTACTTGAGAGAAACACAAAATGCTAAAAAGAGTGAGAGTCTACCCAGGTGCACCTCAGCCCATCTCCTAGAATAAACAAAACATTGTTTTTTGTAGTATTATGTTAAAACAAATACTAAAAAATCAACACAGCTAAAGTTATTGGATGTAAAATGGTCTCTTTACTAGCAATCAGCTGATGGGAAGAGGGGGGGTGGGGGGAGGTGTGGTGATATTGTGGGGTATGAGATGTTTGGTTCACACTCAGGATGGGATGGAGAAAGGAAACTCTTAATGTGCTCTCTGTATACATGTTGTATTGGATGTACAATGCAGCTTGGTGCTGGGAAGTGGCAGCGTGGTTACAAGCGTGATGAAGAGAGAGCTGGTTGGTGAGGGTGCTCAGAGGAGGACAGCTTGTGGGTCGCCAAGCTCGCCGGCGGGAGCGAGGACCGCCAGGCAGGCGGAGGAGGAGGAGGTGTTGCTGGCTGCGGCTGTAGCTAGAAGAAGAGAGTTGGTTGGTGAGGATGCTCAGAGGAGGACAGCTTGTGGGTCGCCAAGCTTGCCGGCGGGAGCGAGGACCGCCAGGCAGGCGGAGGAGGAGGAGGTGTTGCTGGCTGCGGATGTAGCTAGAAGAAGAGAGTTGGTTGGTGAGGATGCTCAGAGGAGGACAGCTTGTGGGTCGCCATGCTCGCCGGCGGGAGCGAGGACCGCCAGGCAGGCGGAGGAGGAGGAGGTGTTTGCTGGCTGGTTGGTGTAGGTAGAAAGAGACAGGTTACCACGAGGTCAGGTCTTTTATAGCGGAGGTAGGCGTGGGTAGATAGATGACCCCCGCTCCGTTGGCGGCGCTGGTTGACCTAGACCACGAGGCATACACTGTGGAATTCGCGGGGTCGGCTACTCAGCGACAAACAGCGTTTGTAGGGGAGAAATCCACTACAATATGTTTGACAGTTGATGCCAAGGTCTAGTGCTTATTTATTTATCTGTCTTTAAGAGCGACTATAAGTTTTTCTCTTATAAAATGTCACCAAACTGGCCTGGGAGAATATAATTAACATTACTGGAATTCTTATAAGATTGGGATTAGTTTTAATATAAACATCTATAGTTTGCGTTAGACATACAAATTTTAGTTCTAACTAATTTTATTACAAAGGGCTAAAATTTTTATCTCTTGTGCAAAATATAAGACGTTTATATTCAAATTACAGTTAACACTCACTTTACGCGGTTAATGTAACCCGGAGGGTACCGCGTAAAGTGAGGAACGCGTAAAGTGAATAACATAACATATGGGATTAATTGAAATGGAGTCCAGGCCGATCCCCAAACTCCACTTTTTGACGACACACAACTATGTTGTAGTAAAAATTTTATCTTAACTTTATGATGGTATGATAAAACAAGTAATATAGAAGAGGTTAGGTTAGGAAAGATAAAGGTTAACATAGGAAAAATAAAGGTAAGGTTAGAAAACTAAAAATTAGGTGTAACTCTTACGGTAGTAGAAGAGATGGGTCGGCATACAGGGATGGAGGCTGGTTCCGAGCCAGAGGGCAGATTACTGGCCCTCAGGTGAATCACCATTACTAGGTGAATCACCATCACTGTCACTTACAGTTGTCAGGGCTTCCCTGACAAATCCCTCAAAGTCAACTTCACTGTCACTATCACTGGCTTGGGCTGGCTGTGGTGGGTTGCGGGCGAAGAAATCTGTTATGCTTTGCTGACGGCTGGCGTTGATGTTGTCGTGATACACCTTGATGTACGGCTCCATAGCCTGCACCAGCCGGGTATGGAAGACTTCATAGCGGTCATCGTCATTGTCGCGGGAAAGGAAGGACTTCATCTTCTCTGCACACTCCATGGCACCCTTAATATCACTATGACTTAAATTGTGTTCTTCGGAGACTGATGCACCTTCTTCCTCCTCTTCACTGACGTGTTCTTCTTCCAACATCTCGTCGGCAGTCACTTCAGGATCTCTGATCACCTCCAGGATGTCGTCGTTGGTGGTCTCGGAGAAGCCTGGAACTGTAACAGTCTGCGCAGCTTCTCTGGCAAGGTCCACTGCTACTGCAACATTCTGAACCTCACCAGTCACAGATTGACTCCTCCTCTCACCTGGTATTCCATGCAACACATGTCTCCATGCGTGACGAATTGTAGCAATAGACAGCTGATCCCATGACTCCACCAAGAAGTCCACAGCTTTCTTGATGTTAAATACTCTCCAGAATTGTTTGAAGAGTATTTTTTGCTGTTCTAACTGTTGATCCTCATCTTCTTCGCTCTTGCTATCGGTGGTGGTGTCACTCAGGTTACGCAACTCTTCCCTGGTGTTGGTGTAGTCGTTCAGGAGCTGGAATTTTTTTGTTGAGAATGCAGCTTTCACATTGCAAATCAACTCCTGGTCCATGGGCTGGATTAAAGACGTAGTGTTGGGAGGAAGGAAGACCACTTTTACGTTGGGGTGACGATCTAACAGTAGGGGCGAGTGTCCTGGTGCGTTGTCCAGCAGCAACAAAATATTAAATGGGACATTCTGTCGCTCACAGAATTTCTTTACATCGGGAACAAAACAGTCATCAAACCAGGAGAGGGACAGTGTAGAGAACATCCATGCCTTACGTGCGGTCAGCCAGTGGACATTTAGCTTGGTCATGTCCATGCTCTTGTAGGCGTGCGGCTTGCGGGCTGTGTGGATCACCGATAACTTGAGCTTACAGGTACCGGAGGCATTGGTGGTAAACAGGACGGTGATGCGTTCCTTCTGCATTTTCCGGCCCCGAATCCTGCTGGCATTCTTCACAACGAAGGACTTGGAAGGTAGTTTTTTCCAGAAAAGACCAGATTCGTCCATGTTAAACACCTGGTCGTCACTGTACTGTCCTTCCTCCATAATCTCACGTAAAAACGGAGGAAATTCCCGAGCCGCAGCACGATCAGCACTCGCTTCTTCACCACCAATGTTTATATTGGTGATCTTGTTCCGGATCTTAAACCTCTGTAACCACCCAGAGGAAGCATTAAAGGGTTTGGGCTCTGAAGTTCCCATCTTTCGTGCCACTGCCATGTACAGTTCACGTGCGTAGTCCTTAACAGAGCGCGTGTCGACCGCCATGTTCCGTCGCGCCTGACGCACCAAGTACCTCACAAGTAATTTTTCTGTCTTGAGAAGCACCTGGTTGTGAAAATACTTGATCATAGAAGCACCTGTAGACTTTGTGATCTTCATGTGCTCCTTTATCTTGGCTGAATCCTTCTTTATAGTCCGGATCGTAGATTCGTTCACGCCATGCTGGCGCGCCAAATCAACCTGCCTTGTTCCTTTCTCCAACTCTTGGATGATGCTATACTTCACCTCGTAGCTTAAGGAACGTCGTGTCTTCTTTGGTTTAGTGCCGCTGGGTCCAGGTAAGGAAAGGTTTCTCTCTGGGGGTGGTGGTCCGGCGGAAGCCATTTTACGGAACAATGGATGCGCATTTACACGGAGTGGCCTTGAGGGATGAAACTGCCGCGGCTAGGTCAAGCGTCGTCTTTCCTCCCTCCCTCCCACCCCCGGGTGGACACGTCATAATACTTTAAGCCAATTACAGCTAGCAGCAGAGGGGGGTAGGGATGCATGGCCAATGACAGGTCTGATACGTCATATGACGTCAGTGATAACGCAACAAAGACACACACTGCGCAACCTTACCGCGCCGCTTGCCCAAGCGGAGGGAGGAGGAGGGAGAGGCAGGCGGGCGGGTGGCGGGTGGGGCGAATCTAAAAATAGCGTCGCGCCGGACACTCTCCGCGTAATGGGGTTCACGTACCGCGTAATGTGAGCACGTGAGATTCTGGCAAGGCACCGCGTTAACGTGGAAACGCGGAATGCGGGACCGCATAAAGTGAGGGTTAACTGTATTCGCTATCTTGCAAGGATTCTAGCAATGCAAATTATATTCCCCTAACTTTAGACTGTGATATTATATAAGATAAAACTGTAAGCCTATAACCACCCAACCCTGGCTGGGAAGAATGGGGGGTCGGGTAGGGAGGAGGAGGGAGGTGACAGTGACACGTTTGACAGTTGGCGCCGCAGGTCTAGTGAAGTATTTATTTGTTTATGTCCTTTAGATTAAGTTTTTGTTTTTTGTTTATAAAATGTCACAAGTGACTGGGGAGAATATAATTTACATTGATGGAATTCTTATAAGATAGTGATTAATTTGAATACAGGTATAATCCTGCTATAGTTTGCACTAGACAAAAATTTGAGTAATTATTTAGTACATTATTTTGAGTACATGTACAGTACAGCTTTGTCCTTAGGGCAGTGTAGCGTGCCCAGAGAAACATTAGGCGCGAATTTTAAAATAGGATGCGCCAGATTGACTCTCAAAATAGGAAAGATTTGCTTTAAATTAAAACATTGTCCTTAATTGTGGGTGTCGCTTTAAATCAATAATCTTAAATTGAATCGCTTTAAATCGACGTTTTACTGTAGTGTTGTATAGAGTTCATATTGACTTGGATTCACTTAAATTCATTGATGGTAGAGCCTTAGTGTAGTCAGTGTTGATTTGGCAGTCACTGCTCTAACAACGGAGGCAACTGCTATACCAGTACTGTATATATCCTCATGAGGTTGGCAGTACAGACGGGATAGTAGAGTGATCAGTATCTGAATGGATTAACAGATTAATCTTGGCAGTGGTGGGCTCTGGTAAATGATTACAGTACTGTACTGTACCTGTATTGTATTTTACCACAGTCAATTTGCTTCGAGTTCTACCAGAAAAAAGTTATTTTGAGATTTGTCCAACATTTATTTATTATTATTATTTTTTTTTTACGTAATAGCTCTATATACCCGTTCCTTCCCAAGTCAATAGGACTGGAGATAGAATGAAAAAAAATTCTAATAAATAGCAAATTTTAATGGAGTATTGGTAAGATTTATGGGAATATATTTATTATAAAACTGAAAAATGAAAAAGTTTGATAAGAGTTAGAAAACTGCTATTCATCATTAGATTGACATTTTCTTACATCCTGCAGGTGAACAACCTCCTGAAGCAAATGACAGCCGAGACCTTAGAGAATGAAGTAGGCGTAGTTGACCTACCTGACCTGACACAGGTGAAGTTCACACTTCTTGGAAACAACAAGATTGATGTAGCTTACCAACTTGAGGAGAAGGTAAGGCAGCAGCCAAGATTACAGTACAGTATATACTTTATTTGGGGTTTTAAAACATGTTGGTATTTTCTAAATTCATGGGCCACCCTGGGACCCTCTGGGACCTCCACGAACACCCTGGGAACTCCTAGCTGTGTATAGGATCTTTCTAGGACCCCATGGGATCACATTCATAATCATTTGGGATCTCCTGTTGTAGGACGAAACTATTTGCTATGTTTATTTTCAAATTTTTTTATATCTAACTCAATTCTTCTTTGTACTTATTTCTTCCTGTTTCGAATTGTACTTTGTTTTTGGTTAAATTACTCTTACTTACTTTGTTTTATATATATATATATATATATATATATATATATATATATATATATTCCTCTGTACATACATATATACATATACATGTATCCTTGATAATTGTGGGGGCAGGGCCGGATTAAGCTTAATAGGGGCAAGTGCATGCTTATCCTTATTGGGAACATTGAAACATTCAACCAGAGAGTCTTTGTTGCTTGGTTGGATCAGGAACCTTAACACTTTTCTTGTTCACAGGTGCCATGGTGGAGGGTAAGTAAAAGTTACAAAAATTGACCCCAAAACAAGCACGGAGTAGGAAACCGCCTTCGTACATCAACCAAAACAGTGTGGGGAAACAAATGCTGTAGCTGGAATCTGTAATGCCGTAATGCCATCTCTTGGCAGTCACTGCTACCACTGGCTCTCGCAGACCCGCCGCTGTCCCATGACAATTTCGCGATAACCCAGATCAATCGGTGATAAGCGTACACATGGTCACAATTGAGGATACCATGATAAATGATAAGCCAGATCAGCGATTATCGGGTCTCGTGATCTTGGGCTTACCTGGGAAACCCCGTTACTATACATTCTTCAATACTCATGGTAGCCACCACCACCACCCAGGTTTTATATCAGAATACATAACATTAACCTGTGAAACACTTTGGTAGCAGCGTGGCGAGGGTTAGGCTCGTGGGTTCTATTGAATTCAGTGGCACAAATTATGAGCTTCTTTAATATGCAAATGACTATTACTTCAAGGTAGTCATCAGATTCTCTGATGGATGGTTGTAAATCAAAGAAATACAACTTCAGTTTGGAATTTACAGTGAACCCTCTCTTTACGCGGTTAATTCAACCCACGGCGGCCCGCGTAAAGTGAGAAACTCGTAAAGTGAACAACATAACATATGGGATTAATTGAAATAGAGACCGGGCCGACCCCCAAACTGCACTTTTTCAGACACAATACCTACGTTGTAGTAAAAATAACTACAGTTGTACCCCACTTAACGCGGTCAATAGAACCCAGAGGGTCCCGCGTTAAGTGAAATCCGCGTTAAGTGAACAATAGAACATATGGGATTAATTCCAATAGAAACCAGCCCGACCCCCAAACTCCACTTTTTGAAGACACATAACTATGTTGTAGTAAAAATAACATCTTAATTTTATGATGGTACATGCACACAATTAATACTTAAGAGAAATAGAGAAATACAGTCGCCAAGTTAATGTCCATTCAAATAATGGACTCAACTCCCTCCCCCTCTTCTCACACTACACTGCTGGCTCTTCCCTCTCTGAGAAATTTTTGGGGGAAAACCACTAAATTTTAATAAATAATACCTCAAACTAAAGTTAGGATAATACAATTGACATTGCTGGATTCCTTGTAAGACCAGGAATATTTTGAATATAAATGTCATATATTTTGCACAAAAGATAACATATTTACTAGAGAAAACATTTTATCTAAAATTTGTATGTCTAATGCAAAATATATGATGTTTATATTCAAAATGATCACCAAATTATAAGAATTCCAGCAATGTAAATTATATTCTGGCCGGGTAATTTGTATGAATTTTATGAGCTAAAACAAATATCTTCAGTTAATAAAAAAAAAATATTCTTCACGACACTATCTGTCAATCAAAGTACCCCACCTTGCCTCCCCCCTCTTCCAACCGCGCGGTCAGTCCCAACCCTCCCCCCCACCCCCCACCAATCCTCCCTTCAAGAGAAGAGTGGGTGAAAAAAATAAATTTTAACATTTTGTATTAAATAATACCTCAGATTAAAGTTAGGATAATATAATTGACATTGCTGGATTCCTTGTAAGACCAGGAATATTTTGAATATAAATGTCATATATTTTGCACAAAAGATAACATATTTACTAGAGAAAACATTTTATCTAAAATTTGTATGTCTAATGCAAAATATATGATGTTTATATTCAAAATGATCATCAAATTATAAGAATTCCAGCAATGTAAATTATATTCTGACCGGGTAATTTGTATGAATTTTATGAGCTAAAACAAATATCTTCAGTTAATAAAAAAAAAATATTCTTCACGGGGTAACAGTTGGTCGGTCGGTCCCTCCCTCCCCCCCACCCCCCACCAACCGTCCCAAGGAGATGTGTGGGGAAACCAGAATATTTAACTCTTTAGTAATAAATAATACCTCAAACTAAAGTTAGGATAATATAATTGACATTGCTGGATTCCTTGTAAGACTAGGAATATTTTGAATATAAATGTCATATTTTGCACAAAAGATAACATATTTACTAGAGAAAACATTTTATCTAAAATTTTTATGTCTAATGCAAAATGTATGATGTTTATATTCAAAATGATCACCAAATTATAAGAATTCCAGCAATGTAAATTATATTCTGGCCGGGTAATTTGTATGAATTTTATGAGCTAAAACAGGCAGTCAGGCAGGGTGGCGGGTGGGGCAAATCTAAAAATAGCGTCTCGAGCCGGACACTCACCGCGTATATGTGGAAAATATCCGTGTTAAGTGAAAGTTCAGCTCTGGCGAGGCACCGTGTATATGAAAAAACGCGTTAAGTGAAACCGCGTTAGGCGGGGTAATACTGTAATTAATTTTATGATGGTATGCACACACAATTAATAATTAAGAGAAATATCAATAATATTAGGTTTTTTAACACTTACATTAGTAGAAAAGATGGCTGGGCACACGGGGATGGGGGATTGGTTCCGAGGCAGAGGGCAGATTATTGGCCCTCACCTGTATCACTTGTATCAATTGTATCACTATCCACCATAGAGGCTTGCAGGGCCTCTTTGTCAAACCCCTCAAAGTCCATGTAAGTCCATATCCTCACTATAATTATCACTATCACTGACTTGGGCCGGCTGTGGTGGGTGGCGGGTGAAGAACTCGGTAATGTTTTGATGACTGGGCGACCTTGTGCGCACCCTGCTTGCGCCGCTATCCGCGTAAAGGGGTACACGCACCGCGGAATGTGAGCATTCCGGTTTCGGCAGGGTACCGCGTAAACGTGGAAACGCGGAATGTGGGACCGCGTAAAGCGAGGGTTGACTGTATATCTCATAACTTCATGAGAGGCAAAAACAGGGTCATACACTTTGCTTGTCATTCAAACAATATACATTACATTTACGGTAGGCATATACATACACATAACTTGCGGCTATTCATACGTGCTCCATCGTAGATTTAAATTTACACTACAGAAGGGCACTTCAGGTTATACAGAAAATGGACAGTACCTCGTCACTAGAGAAAAAGGTCTCCATGGGGTAACTCATTATGTTTCATACATGTTTTATGGATGATGGAACATAATATGAATAAGTGTGGGTATTAATATACTAGATGTGCAACTGGGAGTCTAGCCCCCTATGGACCACCTGAGATATCTCTAGGACACCATGGGACTTCATAAGAAATATACAGGACCCCCTAGTAATCCTCTGGGACCCATTGTAATTTCATTAGGGATCCTTTAGGATTCCAAGGGACACCCTGGAGCCCCTAGAACCCCTAGCCCTGGGGCCCCACAAAAGCCCTATGGACCCCCTATTACACTATGGGACTGCATAAGACACCCTTGGGGCCCTTAGAGTCCTTAATGACCCCCTTGGAACTCCTTTTGATCCCCTGGAAACCTCTGAAGCCCATTAGGACCACCGGAGAACCCATAGAACTACCTTGGACCTCCCAGGTCTCCCTAAGACCCATCAGGACCCCTTGAGATTTTTTAGAAACCCCATGGTACCTTTTTAGGCTCCAGTGGAATCCTTAGGACCCCTTGAGACCCTATCAGGCCTCCTCAGAGCTCCTAGGATTCTTAGGTAGTTTTTTGGCCCCCTTATATCCCCTAGGATTTTGCTACCGAGCTGCCATCATGGAAATACTAGTAATATCTCTGTTAGCCGGAATCCCTCAAACCCGGAACTCTCCAATAACTGGAATTGAAATTTTCTTGGAGAATCGTTCCCAAAGCCGGAATTTTCCAGAAAATTCCGGCTTTTGGGAACGATTATCCGAGGGGCACGTTTTCTTGAACTTCTGAGAACATTTTTCCGTTAACCAAAAAATTCCGGGGATGAGGGAGTTTTCCTAGCTTTGAGCTAGTCGTCTCATTACCCGTAAATCTCTCATTCCCGGGAGTGCTCTGCACCAATTGTTCCGGCTAACAAGGATATCAATGTACAGTACTGTATTTGGATTTTTTCTGAGACTTCATCTTGATGGTTTTCATCTTTCAGAACGATAATGATAACACAGGTTGACTGTCCATCCAAGGTTGACTCATTTTGATGATTGGAATATTTTTCACTTTATCAAGCAAGAATCAGAGACCTTCACCTGGATTTTTATATGGATTGTTTTATTGTTCTGTGAGCCAGTGGGGCCAGAGTCTGCCCAGTGCTTGTCTGTCCTCATGAAATTTTGAACTGGGTATAGATCGGTATCTTTTACATCTGTTAGGGTAAGCTGTGCCATCAAAATCTAGCTTTCTTTAATACTTACTGTACAGTACTTAAGTTTATGTGAATACTGTGAATGCAGTTGATATAATGTTTAGTGTAGAAACATGTTGATGAAGTCTTATTTGAAGTTTCATAATGCAAATGAAGTTTGTAGTGTGTTCTCAAAGCAATGATGTTGAAGTTTAGACATCTACTTAAGGTTTCTAGAAGCCTGTCCGTTCACTATATTGGATCACCATATTGTAATCTCTGTCAGAAATTATTTACAATGCTGTAGCAATTTAAATACAATGAGACTGCAATGAGAATACTGTACAGGGTATAACATATTGAACCTTTATATTTAAGTTAGCAGATTTGACATTACTGTAGAGTTGATTAACTTATTAGAGGGCAGCAGTGCACTTGGGTATTTTATTCAACTGAGATAAACCCCTGCCTTCTAAAGGGTTAAAAACAAAGACAGAACATAATATGATCATTACATTACTTTCTTGCACAGGTGAAAAAAGGTGAGCTAGCACTTCAGCTGGATGAGGAGCGACTTCCTGCTGATCTTCGTGCATCGTGGTTCCATCATCAGGTGTCAGAGCTCAGGTGGGAGGCACCCTTGGAGATCCGTTCAGGAACCAGGGAGGTGGTGAGTGAGGCTGTGGCTCTGGAACCTCCCTATCTCGCGGCCACCATCATCTTTACCGTTATTTCTGCCATGTTGGTCTGTGGGCTGGTTGTTGCTGTCGTTCTCTACCGCAGACATAAAACTGGACAGTACCCAAAGGTAAATATTAAAACAGGTGATGAAAAGAAATGATGTTAGAATCGCTACTAAATTTTGTAATAATAACAGGTTTCCAAATACTACTGTATGTTGTCTATAAAGCAATATCCATTACCACACTAAAAAGTGAAATTGGCATATGAGGTATAGAGACTACTGTATATTCTTGAGAAAATTTATGTAAAGGTGATATAAAACTTATTAGCACAGCATAATTGATGTATTGAATATACTAAATGTGTTAAATAATTTCAAGGGTCAATAATTAACATTAATTACTCAAACTTTAACATTTTGAACCCAAACCCTTAACTCAACTGTATGTGGTCATGGGGAATTAAGGTTAACTTTTGTGTGCCTCACTCAGGGTCCTAGAGGATCCATGCAGTCCCTAGCCTTCAGCGACTCCTCCTTGGACCGACGCAGCACTTCCTCCAGACTATCAGACCAGTTCCAGCCACCACCACCACGCCGACCAACTGTTACAACCGTTGAGAACGAATACCGTAATGGACGCCATTAGATTGAAACAAGCTGTGATTGCCAAAGGCTGGTTTTTGTTCTATAGAGCAGAATAGTTTCTCTGTGTTTTCGCTGAGCGAAGAAATACTTGCAGTCGTGAGATGCATGAAATACATTAGAATGCGTAGAAGATCTTGTACAGAACTTGATATGTTGTAGATACCAACATTTTAAAATGAGCGTCTATCATAATAAAAACATATAGAGAGCTTTTAGCATATGCAAAATAAATGCTTTAGTGCTAGTTACCATCAACATAAATAGCCCAGGTTGAGTAGAAAAACTGTCTTACCAGTGTAAAAAGATACAAATGAGAACACACGTAGGCTGTTTATACAAAAGTACAAGAAATAACATCAGAAAAAGGAAAAAACTTTATTCGTATAACCATACAAGCTTAAGCCTAATTAGTGTTTTAAGTCTTGTTAAATATCTCATGTTGCAGTATTCAGCCTTGGAAGCTGTAGTGCTCTTGACAGCAAGTAAACTTCTACTACTGACAGTAAAAAAGGGAAAGTTTTGTGACTTAGATCACAAATATGGTTCTGCAGACGAGAGTATCACAGTTTTTATTATTATTTATTTTTATGACATTTGTAACAAAGGTATTGAAATGGCAGAAAATGGGAAAAATATTTTTGTAAGCATAGGAAATGCTCATGGTGATGATTCTATAAGCATGCCTAGTTACTGACTCGGTAATGGACATGCAGTTTAGTGAATTGTTTGGATTATAATTTTAGGTAAAGACACCAGAGAAGTTTGCCACTTATGTAACAATGTGAACAAAAATTAATAAATCCCCCTTCAGAAAGTAACAAAATATTATTGCTAAAGAGTTGTAGAATGTAAAACTACATGGCATGCTGTTTTCGGTTTATCTCCAGGGCTTATGATAAATACCAAGCACAGTCTTGTTGTGATCAGATGAACACAAAAGTTGCTTCATTTCCTCGGGCAGAAAACAAATTTCACATCACATAAATATTGAAAATCTATTGAAAATCTCTGTTGGTTTACTTCAAGTATGCCAAGAAGGGAGTTTTTTCAACTTATGAGATCAGCCATTTGAAGAAATTCATAATATAGAATTCTAGCAATGAGAAACGAATTTCCCCGTTGTCAATTGTTTAAAGTTGATCCAAACATCCAGCATTACCCTGTGCTCAAACAAACTTGTGTTGCCGTTAATGCCTGAGTCGAAACACTGTTTTTAACAGAAGGTTTTTCTTTCTTTAGATTTATCTTAATTTTGGTGATTCCTTTAAACAAGATCATGCGAGAGACTTTTTTGTAGATTACCATGATCATTTATTTTCCCAGTACTGTATCTAAATAAACATTTTGCTCAAATCTGTTTCTAAATGAAGAAAATGTAGAAAATGAATGAATTAGACCATGAATAGTGCACAGATTAAGAGTTGGTTTTGTGTGAAATGTATTCAAAATTATTGTATCAAGATCTTGTTTTGAGGAGCAACTGTCTCGCCACATTATTTGGTAGGTCTTCTTAGGTTTCTTGATGTGAGTTAAATCAAGTAACTTGGGACTTTTGTAAGACAAATACTTCTTATTCTTGCATGTAGGACTACAGTTCTAAAATACCATGTTAACTTGAGGAAAATTAGATTAGCATATAATCAGTATTAACTTGAACTTTTCTCTAACTTTGGGTACATAAGTATCCAAGTATCCATATTATGGGAAATGACATTCACTAGTTGAAAATAGGTGCAAGGCCGCATATTTCAGTGATAAGGACCACAACTCCTCTTTTTAACATGGTAGAAATAACCTTTGGCCTCATGTGACAAGATACAAATACTGTACTGTATTGGTCTTACAGTGAATGCTCAATGTTAATTATATAACCCATCTTGTGTTTGGAAAAGAGAAAATGAACAGTTTACACAGAAAAGTAACAAAAAAAAATAAATAAATAAAAATAAAAAATTGTGGCAAAATGTTTCTGGGGCATTTGTACATGCTCGCTTACCAATATTGTGTCTCTGTAAGTAGATTAGGTATTTTTCTAGCCATTTTTAAACATAGTTACCTTTGTATAAGGTTTCATTCATAATAATACAGTGTGTTTCCATTAGAACTTAATTATAGAGAAACAATAGTGTTTTAGCAATAATGATGCCTGTATAATAAAGCACAATCTAACCATTTACTATGCACCATATATATTTTAGTATAATCACTCGATTTCCTGAAAATTATTAGAGTTTTCTCTTGATATTATTTTATTATAGTTCATCTGGGAACTAAGATGGTCAACAAATACTGTGCTGTACTTCATCTCTCCACCCTTGTGTTGTATTTATATTAATTCCTTATTCTTTTGTGCTGGTCACATTTTCCATATTTCATCTCGGATCACTGTACATTCGTTCAGCCATTAACTCTCCCCCCCCTTTTTTTATTTTTTTTATTATGTATTAAATTAAGCTAAATTGAATGCACCCAGAGCCTTTCATTGTGTAATACAGTACTGGAGATACATACCAGTGAAGGTCAAGGGACATTACAGTAATTTTGTTGAAGAGTACCCTTTACACCACTCGAGAGTTCTGTATACTGTACGTACTTTACTTTTTTCTGATTATCAAATATAATTTCTAGGAAGATGATATTAGAAGTAAGTCCTTAACATACATTTGTCGTGGAGATCAGAATTGAGATTCTCAGCTTGCCAAAATCCTTCCAACTTGGTATGGATAAACTTATCAGCCTTAAAAATTTGGTCAAAATACACCTTTATAAAGTTAAATTGCTCAAAATCTTTTATGTAAACTATCTTCATCTCTATTTTTTATTATAAATTATGTGAAATGCTTCAAAATTTCCTTACATTAGTTATTATCCAGGTTGAAAATTAAAATGAATGATAAAATATGAAGCAAATTCGTCCCTCTGAACTTTACTTATCAGTGTTTAGAAAATCTAAGTGTTTAATTTCATCTTTAATAGGAAGTGAATGCATTTCTGTATATTTGTAAATAGGGTGATTCCTTTACTTCCCTGCTCCATTATGTGTCACTGTATTGACGTTAACTGTGTATTGGCGTCACTTTGTATTATATAATTAAGTAAATATATGCCAAATTATATTAACTATTATTTTCCTCTCTCATTCTCTCACAGGAAAGAACACTTTAGGTGCAGTTAGTTGCACTTATGCCTGGTATTGTGCTGTAGCAACTACAGTATGTGTTGTATACATCGTAGTATTTCTAGCCGAATGGTGTGAAACAGCCTCTTAACACTAGTGCATCACAACACATAAAGGTAGTTAGCAGCTATCAAACAGGGAGGTACTACCGTCTGGTGTCACGCTCGTGATGACGGCTAACCTGAAAACCTTAAGGATTCATATTACGCTCAAACGTCCACAAAACCTTCCGAGTCCCCCAGTGGAAACGTACCCCGTTTTCTCTGTTTCCCCGTCTTTGTCTTAAGGGAACTTTGAATATAATCCACGGATTTCGTAGCAGACGCTGTATGTTGGGATCTGTTGCCATCCAACCCTTTGTAATCAATTTAATTTTGCTTTTGATAGCTCAGTCAGAGCATTGTTAGTGAGGATAATAGTAGGGAATGAAACTGAGTTCATAGTCTCAGTTTCAACGTCAGAGTGTACCGTAAATTAATTCATCGAAATAGAAGTAGGTGGACTCCCTGGCCTATTTTGAGTGAGGGTGCCGCGGGCATTTCTACGGTTAGTAAGTGCTCGCCCCTTCACCCATACAGGTAGGCCATTCCACTGTGTTGTAATTCGCCCTTCTTTAAGTGATTTGACCCAATTAATAGTTGAGTGTGCAAGTGTTACAGTAACGTAGTTGATATGCTCCGAGTGAAGTCTTATTTACGTCTTTAACGTCCCCTGAAATGTGATGTCGTTGTCACTGTTAGTAAGTGCTCGCCCCTTCATCCATACAGGTCCCTAACGCAGTCTAGGCCGTGTCTGTAGCGTGGATGTTGTATCCACTATGTCTGGGGAGATGTCCGAGGTCCAGTAGGATCAGTTACCTTCGTGAGACCCGGCCGTCAGACACTTCAGACTACCTATGGCCCCCATAGCTGGCTCGTCTGGCCCTAACGCTAGGCCTGGGAGGTGACCCCGGATCACCAAGCCACACACCACTACCAGCCCCCATCATTGGTGGATGAGTGTCTAACTCAGTAGGGCTATTTGTGTGGTGGGATTAATCCACTGGGATCTTCAGAGTTCGTCGGAAAGTACCCCATGGTGGCTGGACCCCATGGCTGTTGCTTGAGTATCACTCCTGACGACTGAGTGTTGTAGTGGCAGTTGCCCTGGTCTTTTTGGTGCTAAGTGACTATAAGAGTTATGTGTTATTGAGTATGTCCCCCCAGTAGGGTTGGGAGTGTTATTGAGTATGTCCACCCAGTAATGGTGTGAGTATGTTGAGCCTGAGGGCATAGTACCAGATTTCGTCTGTTGGTACATATATATTCTTTCTCCTACATCCATATCAATGTTTAAATAAATTTTGTATTTGTATATTGTGTATTATTTTCCTACAGTATTTACCGTTATTTCTTCCCTATTACTTGATATTATCATTACACTTACCCACGAGCCACCTCTCGTCACGCTACCAATGGTAATAAGTATGAGAGTAAAAGGAATTGTTACTGACACACAGGCCCTTATAAAATGGTGGCAGTCCAGGCCCTCATAAAATAGTGGCAGCTCAGGCCCTCATACTGGGAAGATATTGGAAACATAATGCGTTGTCTAATGGTAGACCCTGCTGCCATATAGCATCACAGAAATTGTGACCAAGTCCCAGATTGCTGATCTGACTTTCTGCCTCATTTACACACAATTGTAGGGTTTCAATTGTTTCTCTTGATATTGACAAGACAACATACATATATTGTTTCTCACTTTTGATTTATTTTTTTCAGTTTTTGTATTAATTTATTATTATTATTATTATTATGATTTGTATTTATTTTATTAATTATTATTATTATTATTATTATATTTTTGTCCTCCAGGCCCTGATGTGGTATACACACTCCCCTCCTACACAACCTTTCCACTCCACACATCCTTCCCACACCACCCTTACACTCCACACACCCATCTAACACTCCCTTAATGGTCCACACGCCCCTCCTAGACCAACCTTACACTCCACACACCCTCCAAACACCACCCGTCTTAGGGGCGTCGGCTACCCAAGGAGCCCTCCCAGAGGCAGCGGTGCCCACAGGGGCCTTACTAGGGGCGCCTCCTCCCAAAAGCCCTATAGATTGCAAGGTCGTGCTGTTGTACATATTGCATACGTCCAGCAATCCCTTACTTATCTGTGATTGGTTAACTCAAATGTGAATCCATCAAATTACAGCCAATAGGAGAACAGAGCAGTCAGTCAGCACAACACCCCAACTTATGTTTTCCTTTTGGATATTCATTCTCCTTTACATTGTTCATGATGCGATGAGACTGGAAACGCGATGGGCAGTGTATTTATTTAACGTCATAACCCCCATTGTTCTAAATAATGCAAAAACAACTGCCCCTAGCGGCCTTACAGTGGCAGCTCTGCCTGGGGCACTCCCAAATGCCCTACCAGAGACAGCGCCCACAGGGGATATGCAAGAGGCTTCGGTGACACTGAGGCCCTACCATAGGCAGTGGTGACCGCAGAGGCTATCCCAATGGAGTCAGCGAACCCAGGGGCCTTCCAAAGAGTAGCATCGACCTCAGGCACCCTCGCAGAGGCTACAGAGATCCCAGGGGCCCCTCCATGGACGTCAACAATCCAAGGAACCTTCCCAGGAGAAGCAAAGACCCCAGGGCCCCCTTGCAGGGTCCCTACTTGAGGCAGGGACGTCCCCAAGGGACCTCCAAACGACAGCTGCTTAAGGGGCTCTCCTAGTGGCAGCGGCGCCTCTACGGGCCCTGCCAGGAGCAACAGAGACATCAGAGGCCCTCCCAGGAGCTGGCGATTCCCACAGGGGTCCTGCCAGGGGCTTCGGAAACTCCAGGGGTCGTCTCAGGGGCGGTGGAAACCCCAGGAGCCTTCCCAGTGGCAGAGGCACCCCTAGGGTTTTTTGGGGCGCGGCAGTGCCCCCAAAGGCCCTCCCAGGAGCGGCAGCGCACCAAGGGGCCGCCTCAGGGGCGTCAGATACCCCAGGGGCCTTCCCAGAGGCAGCAGTTACCCCAGGGGCCCTCCTAGATGCAAAGGTGCCCACATGGGCCGTCCCAGGAGGTTCAGCAACCCCAGGGGTCCTCCCAGAGGCGGTGGCGACCACAGGTGATATCCCAATGGCGTCGGCGAAATCTGGGGCCTTCCCAAGAGCAGCGTAGACCCCAGGGGACCTCCCAGATGCAGCGGGGCCCCCAAGGGCTCTACTAGGGACGCCTCCTCCCAGAAGCCCTATAGCTTGCTTGGTCGTACTGCTTGTACATATTGCATACGTCCAGCAATCCCTTACTTAACTGTGATTGGTAAACTAAAATGTAACTTTATCAAAGTACAGCCAATAGGAGAACAGAGAAGTCAGTCAGCACAACACCCCTACTTATGTTTTTTTGTTGGATATTCATTCTCCTTTACATTGTTCATGATGCGGTTGATACTATAAACGCGATGGGTGGTGTATTATTTATTTAACGCCCATTTTTCTAAATAGTGTAAAAACGACTGGCCCCAGCGGCCCTACAGGGACAGCGCTCCCTAGACACCTCTCATTTGCCCTACCAGATACGGCGCCCCCAGGGACCATCCCAGGGGCTTCGGCGACCCCAGGGGCCCTTCCAGAGGCGGTGGTGACCCAAGGAATATCCCAATGGCGTCGGCGAACCCAGGGGCCTTCCCAAGAGCAGCGGGCCTACCAACCACACTACTGTACTGTGTCACATGTGAGACCATATGTGTACACTGAAACCATGTGTGTACACTGTGAGACCATGTTTGTAGACTGTGAGACCATGTGTGCACACTGTGAGACCATGTGTGTACACTGTGAGACCATGTGTGTACACTGTGAGACCATGTGTGTACACTGTGAGACCATGTGTGTACACTGTGAGACCATGTGTGTACACTGTGAGACCATATGCCAGGAGCTGCGGCGCCTCTATGAGCCCTCTTATGGTCGGCGGCGCTGCCATGGGCCCTCCTAGTGGCAGTGGGTGCCTGTCCAGGGGGAGGCAGGGTCTCTACCAAGGGCAACGGCGACCCCAGGGACCCTTCCACATGCGGCATCGCCCCAAAAACTTCATAGTTTTGTCGTACATTTTGCATTCGTCCAGTAATCCCTTACTTAACTGTGATTCGTGGAATAAAATGAAACGTCATCAAATTACAGGCAATAGGAGAAGAGAGCAATCAGTCAGCACAACACCCCAAATTATGATTTGCTATTGGATATTTATTCTCTCGTTTAACTATTTAAATTCTGAGAGATATGACGTTAAATAAATACACCGTCCATCGCATTTTCAGTATTATTGCAACCTGAGAATAAATATCCAACAGCAAAACATAAGTTGGGGTGTTGTGCTAATTGATTGCTCTGTTTTCCTATTGGCTGTAATTTGATGACGTTACCTCTTATTCCACCAATCACAGTTAAGTAAGAGATTACTGGAAGAATGCAATATGTATGACACCACTATCCAGTGTTTTGGGGCGCCGCCACCCCTAGGAGGACCTATTGTGAGCCACAGGCCTTGGCAAGGTCCCTGGGAGCAGTGGCGCCCCATAAAGAGGCCTAGGGGGACCCACCGTCTCTGGAAGGGCCCCTTTAGGCGCCACCGCCGCTGGCAGGGCCTCTGGGAGCACCACGGTCCCTAGGAACGTACCTGCAGGCGCCCCCGTCCCTGGAAAGACCCCTGGGATCACGGCTGTCCCTGTGAGGGTCCCTTGGGTTGCCAGCGCCCCTAGCAGGGCCCCAGGGGCCACCGCTGTGTCTGTGAGGGTCCCTAGGAGCGTTGCTGTCCCTGTGAGGGTCCCTAGGAGCGTTGCTGTCCCTGAGAGGCAAATGGAAGCTCTGCTGTTCCTGGAGGAGCCTCTGAGGAGGCCGCCTTCCCTGAGAAGGCCCCTAGGATTGCCGTTGTCCCTATGAGTGCCCCTGGTGGATCCAGCGCCCCTGACCAGTCCCTTGGGAACACCGCCGACGCTGAGAGGTCCCTGGTGGCGCCTACGTGCCTGGCATGGCCAAGTGACCCTCATAGGGGTAGCGGCGATCCCAGCTTCCCTTACAGGGACGGGGGCGCCTTCAGGGGTGTTCCCAGGGACGGCGACGCCCCCGGGAGCCCTGCCACAGCAGTGGCGCCTTAAGGGGTTCTTCCAGAGTCGGTGTCTCCCCCAGGGTCCCCTCTATGGGGCGCCACTGCCCACATCAACCCTGCCAGGGGTTGTGGCGCCCCTATGGGCCCTCCTAGGGCCCGCAGCGCTGCTATGGGCCCTCCTAGTCGCAGTGGGTGCCTTTCCAGGGGCGGCAGGGTCTCTCCCAGGGGCGACGGCGACCCCAAGGGCCCTTCCACATGCGGTATCGCCCCAAAAACTTCATAGTTTTGTCGTATAATTTGCAATCGTCCAGTAATCCCTTACTTGACTGTGATTGGTGGAGCAAGATGTAACGTCATCAAATTACAGCCAATAGGAGAACAGGGCAATCAGTCAGCACAACACCCCAACTTATGCTTTGCTGTTGGATGTTTATTTTCGTTTCACTATTTAAATTCTGGGAGATAGGACGTTAAATAATACACCGCCCATCGTATTTTCAGTATTATCGCAACCTGAACAATGAAAAGGAGAATGAATATCCAACAGCAAAACATAAGTTGCCGCCCATCGTATTTTCAGTATTATCGCAACCTGAACAATGAAAAGGAGAATGAATATCCAACAGCAAAACATAAGTTGGGGTGTTGTGCTAAATGATTGCTCTGTTTTCCTATTGGGTGTACTTTGATGACTCTACCTCTTATTCCACCAATCACAGTTAAGTAAGAGATTACTGGAAGAATGCAATATGTACGACACCACTATCCATTGTTTTGGGGCGCCGCCTACCCTAGGAGGACCTATTGCGAGCCACAGGCCTTGGCAGGGTCCCTGGGAGCATTGGCGGGTCATAAAGAGGCCTGGGGGAAGCCACCGCCTCTGGAAGGGCCCCTAAAGGCGCCACGCCGCAAGCAGGGCCTCTGGGAGGGCCTCTAGGAGCACCACAATCCCTAGGAACGTACTTGGAGGCGCCCCTGTCCCTGGAAAAACCCCTGGGGTCACCACTGTCCCTGTGAAGGCCCCTCGGGTCGCCAGTGCCCCTAGCAGGGCCCATGGGTCCCTAGGAGCGTTGCTGTCCCTGAGAGGCCCATGGAAACTCGGCTGTTTCTGGAGGAGCCCTTGAGAACGCCGCCTTCCCTGAGAATGCCCCTAGGATTACCGTTGTCCCTAAGAGTCCCACTGGTGGATCCAGCACCCCTGACAGGTCCCCTGGGGGCAACGCTGACCCTGAGAGGGCCCTGGGGGCGCCTCCGTGCTGGGCATGGCCAAGTGACCCTCACAGGGATATAGAAAATCCCAAGGTCCTTTACAAGGAAGGAAGCGCCTTCAAGGGTTTTTCCAGGGACGGTGACGTCCCCAGGGGCTCCACCACAGCGGTGGCACCTTCAGGGGCCCTTCAGAGGTGGTGTCTCTACCAGGGTACCTCTTTGGGGTGCCACTGCCCACAAGGACCCTGCCAGGGGCTGCAGCGCCCCTATGGGCTCTCCTAGGGCCGGTGGCGCTGCTATGGGCCCTTCTAGTGGCAGTGGGCGTTTGTCCAGGGGCGGCAGGGACTCTGCCAGGGGCGAGGGCGCCCTCAGGGGCCCTTCCACATGCGGCATGGCCCCAAAACGTCATAGTTTTGTGGTACATTGTGCATTCGTCCAGTAATCCCTTACTTAACTGTGATTGGTTTAATAAGAGGTAACGTCATCAAATTACAGCCAATAGGAGAACAGAGCAATCAGTCAGCACAACACCCCAACTTATGCTTTGCTGTTGGATATGTATTCTCGTTTCACTATTTAAATTCTGAGAGATATGACGTTAAATAAATACACACCGTCCATCGCATTTTCAGTATTATTGCAACCTGAGAATAAATATCCAACAGCAAAACATAAGTTGGGGTGTTGTGCTAATTGATTGCTCTGTTTTCCTATTGGCTGTAATTTGATGACGTTACCTCTTATTCCACCAATCACAGTTAAGTAAGAGATTACTGGAAGAATGCAATATGTACAACACCACTATGCATTGTTTAGGGGCGCCGCCTCCCCTAGGAGGACCTACTGTGAGCCAGAGGCCTTGGCAGGGTCCCTGGGAGCAGTGGCGCCCCATAAAGAGGCCTGGGGGGAGCCACCAACTCTGGAAGGGCCCCTAAAGGCGCCACGCCGCTGGCAGGGCCTCTGGGAGGGCCTCTGGGAGCACCACGGTCCCTAGGAACGTATCTGCACGCGCCCCCGTCCCTGGATGGGCCCCTGGGATCACGGCTGTCCCTGTGAGGGCCCCTAGGGTTGCCAGCACCCCTAGCAGGGCCCATGGGGGCGCCGCCGAGTCTGTGAGGGTCCCTAGGAGCGTTGCTGTCCCTTTGAGGCTCATGGAAACTCGGCTGTTCCTGGAGGAGCCTCTGAAAAGGCCGCCTTCCCTGAGAAGGCCCCTACGATTGCGGTTGTCTCTAAGAGCGCCCCTGGTGGATCCAGCACCCCTGACAGGTCCCCTGGGGGCACCGCCGACCCTGAGAGGGCCGTGGTGGCGCCTCCGTGCCTGGCATGGCCAAGAGACCCTCATAGAGAGAGGGGCTATCCCAGCTTCCCTTACAGGGACGGGGGCGACTTCAGGGGTGTTCCCAGGGACGGCAACGCCCCCAGGAGTCCTGCCACAGCGGTGGCGCCTTTAGGGGACCTTCCAGAGGCGGTGTCTCCCCCAGGGTCCCTCTATGGGGCGCCAATGACCCCAAGGACCCTGTCAGGGGCTGTGGCGCCCCTATGGGCCCGCCTAGGGCCGGCGGCGCTTCTATGGGCGCTACTAGTGGCAGTGGGTGCCTTTCCAGGGGCGGCAGGGTCTCTGCCAGGGGCGACGGCGCTTCCAGGGGCCCTTCCACATGCGGCATGGCCCCAAAAACTTCATAGTTTGGTCGTACATTTTCCATTCGTCCAGTAATCCCTTGCTTAACTGTGATTGGTTTAATAAGAGGTAACGTCATCAAATTACAGCCAATAGGAGAACAGAGCAATCATTCAGCACAACACCCCAACTTATGCTTTGCTGTTGGATATTTATTCTCGTTTCACTATTTAAATTCTGGGAGATATGACGTTATTAAATAAATACACCGGCCATCGCATTTTCAGTATTATCGCAACCTGAACACTGAAAAGGAGAATAAATATCCAACAGCAAAACATAAGTTGGGGTGTTGTGCTAATTGATTGCTCTGTTTTCCTATTGGCTGTAATTCGATGACGTTACCTCTTATTCCTCCAATCACAGTTAAGTAAGAGATTACTGGAAGAATGCAATATGTACGACACCACTATCCATTGTTTTGGGGCGCCGCCTCCCCTAGGAGGACCTATTGTGAGCCACAGGCCTTGGCAAGCTCCCTGAGAGCAGTGGTGCCCCATAAAGAGGCCTGGGGGGAACCACCGCCTCTGGAAGGGCCCCTGTAGGCGCCACCGCGGCTGGCAGGGCCTGTGGGAGCACCACGGTCCCTAGGAACGTATCTGGAGGCGCCCCTGTCCCTGGAAAGGCCCCTGGGATTACGCCTGTCCTTGTGAGGGCCCCGAGTGTTGCCAGCGCCCCTAAGAAGGCCCATGGGGGCACTGCCGTGTCTGTGAGGGTCCCTAGGAGTGCTGCTGTCCCTGTGAAGGTCCCAAGGAGCATTGCTGTGCCTGAGAGGCCCATGGAAGCTTGGCTGTTCCTGGAGGCGCCTCTGAGGACGCCGCCTTCCCTGACGAGTTCCCTAGGATTGCCGTTGTCCCTAAGAGCGCCCCTGGTGGATCCAGCGCCCCTGACAGGTCCCCTGGGGGCACCGCCGACCCTGAGAGGGCCCTGGTGGCGCCCCCATGCCTGGCATGGCCAAGTGACCCTCATAGGCATAGCGGCGATCCCAGTTTCCCTTACAGTGAGGATGGCGCCTTCAGGGGTGTTCTCAGGGATGGCGATGCCCCCAGGGGCCCTGCTACAGCAGTGGCGCCTTCAGGGGCCCTTCAGAGGCGGTGTCTCCCCCACAGTCCCTCTATGGGGAGCCACTGCCCCCAAGGACCCTGCCAGGGGCTGTGGTGCCCCTATGGGCCCTCCAAGGGCTTGCAGCGCTGCTATGGGCCCTCCTAGTCGCAGTGGGTGCCTTTCCAGGGGCGGCAAGGTCTCTGCCAGGGGCGACGGCGCCCCCAGGGGACCTTCCACATGCGGCATGGCCCCAAAAACTTCATAGTTTTGTCGTACATTTTTCATTCGTCCAGTAATCCCTTACTTAACTGTGATTGGTTTAATAAGAGGTAACGTCATCAAATTACAGCCAATAGGAGAACAGAGCAATCATTCAGCACAACACCCCAACTTATGCTTTGCTGTTGGATATTTATTCTCGTTTCACTATTTAAATTCTGGGAGATATGACGTTAAATAAATACACCGGCCATCGCATTTTCAGTATTATCGCAACCTGAACACTGAAAAGGAGAATAAATATCCAACAGCAAAACTTAAGTTGGGGTGTTGTGCTAATCGATTGCTCTGTTTTCCTATTGGCTGTAATTCGATGACGTTACCTCTTATTCCTCCAATCACAGTTTAGTAAGAGATTACTGGAAGAATGCAATATGTACGACACCACTATCCATTGTTTTGGAACGCCGCCTCCCCTAGGAGAACCTGTTATGAGCCACAGGCCTTGGCAGGGTCCCTGGGAGCAGTGGCGCCCCATAAAGAGGCCTGGGGGGAGCTACCGCTTCTGGAAGGGCCTCTGAAGGCGCCACACCCCTGGCAGGGCCTCTGGTAGGGCCTCTAGGAGCACCACGGTCCCTAAGAATGTACCTGGAGGCGCCCCCGTCCCTGGAAAAATCCCTGGGGTCACCACTGTCCCTGTGAGGGCTCTTCGGGTCGCCAGCGCCCTTAGCAGGGCCCATGGGGGCGCCGCCGTCTCTGTGAGGGTCCCTAGGAGCATTGCCGTCCCTGAGAGTCCCATGGAAACTCGGCTGTTTCTGGAGGAGCTCCTGAGAACGCCACCTTCCCTGAGAATGCCCCTAGGATTGCCGTTGTCCCTAAGAGCGCTCCTGGTGGATCCAGCGCCGGTGACAGGTCCTCTGGGGGCACCCCCGACCCTGGGAGGGCCCCATGGGGCGCTTTCGCTCCTGGGAGGGCCCCTAAGTGCACTACCGCCCCCGAGAAGATCCCTGTGGGTGCCGCTGCCACTGGGAAGTCTCCTGGGGTCTCCAACGCACCTGGGACGGTTCCTGGGGTTTTCGCCGCCCCTAGAGGGCGGCTTCAGCTCCTGGAAGGGTCTCTGGGGTGTACGATGCCCCAGGCAGGTCCCCTAAAAGCGGTACTGCCCCTAGGAGGGCCCGTGGGGACGTCCTTTGGGGGCGTCGCCGCCTCAAAGAGGGACCCTCCAAGGGGCCCCTGGAGTCTCCTCTACCCCTGGGCCCTGGGGTTGTCGTCGGCCCTGGAGGTGCCCCTGGGGTCGCTGCCGCCTCTGGAAGGGCCCCTGGGGTCACCAACGCACTTGGCAAGGCCTCTGGGGCCCTCTATGCCACAAGGAGGGCCCATTGGTGAGCCCCTTGGAGCGCCGCCGCCCCTAGGAGGGACCCTGGGGTCGTCGCTGCTCTTCCAAATACCCCTTGGTTCGCCGAAGCCACTGGGATAACCCCTGGTGGCACCTTGGGTCACCGACGTTCCTAGGAGGGCCCCGGAGTCGCTAAATTCCCTGGAATGGCTCCTGGGGGCGCCATATGTGGTAGGGCAAATGAGAGAGCCCCAGGGAACACTGTCCCTGTAGGTCCGCTGGGGCCAGTTGCTTTTGCACTATTTATTACAATGCGAGATATGACGTTAAATAAATACACCACCCATCGCGTTTCCAGTATCATCGCATCATGAACAATGTAAAGGAGAATGAATATCCAACAGGAAAACATAAGTTGGGGTGTTATGCTGATTGACTGCTCTGTTCTCCTATTGGCTGTAATTTGGTGGATTTATATTTTAGTTGACCAATCACAGTCAAGTAAGGTATTGCTGGACGTATGCAATATGTACAACAGCACGACCAAGCAAGCTATAGGGTTTTTGGGAGGGGGCGCCCCTTGTAGGGCCCCGTTGCCTCTGGGAAGGGACCTGGGTTCGCTGCCGCCTCTGGGAGAGCCCATGGTGTCAACGACGCCCCTGTTAGGGCCCCTGGGGCACTACCTCCTCTGGGAGATCCCATAGGGCTGCCGTCACCGCTGAGCGGGCCCCTGGGGGCACCGCCGCCCCTGAGTTGGCCCCATTGGGCGCTGATGCCCCTAGGAGGATGCCTGGGGTTATTGCCGCCTCCTAGAAGACCTACGGGGTACCGCTGTCCCTGGGAGAGACCCTAGGGTCGCTGCCGCCCATTTGACGGGCCCATGAGATTACCGTCGTCCGTGGGAGGGCCCCTGGGGGCCCTGCAGCCCCTGAGATGGCCCCTGGGGTCACAGCTGCCACTGGAATGGTCCCTAGGTTCTCCAGAACTGAATTCTTCTTAGTTCAACTGAACATGCCAGTCCGCAGCTCGGATAAAGTTGGAGAGCTACTGTAGTGTTGCATGATCTACGTTTCATAAACACTTCTTTTTCAGACCATTTTATAATACAAGGTACAGTATAATGTTTAGATTTCTCAAAGACTAGCCATGTAATATAGCAAAATTTTCTGTTGTCAGGTAATAATGAAAAAAAGAATTGTACATGCAGTATATTTTTTTATTTACATTTGTATACACTACACATATATCCATTACAATATGCAATAATAGTCCAGCAGTTTGATACAAGAATATTAAAGATTATCTTTGGGAAAATTTCATTGATGCTCATTCTTAAATACTGTACCTGCACTGTCTAGGTACTGATCAGTTTTCTAGCCATTGAGGTACTCTTATGTGCTTATATAAAACCTACATTGACCGTGTGTGTGCAGGAGGAAATCAGAGAAACCAGCGATGATTTCCCGAGAGATAACTATATTACCACTATACCATCACTTTTCTCGGCAGACACATCAGTACTGGAAGTGTCATCACATTGTCATCTATTAAGTATTTCTCAATTCAACGTTTATATTGTGGACTCCACGAAAGGTTAGTTTATTACACTAGACCTTGATGATGCTGTAATGTATCTTTAGTCAGGTTTTGGTTCTTCTACACCAATGTTATTCATCTAATAATGAAAATCTTTTGTGTTTTATTTTATGAATAATTTTGGCCAGGTACAGAGGCATTTCTAAATTTATCCTTGTGACCAAGTCTATTAATTATCAATTCACTGGAGTCGGTGCAGCGAAGAATGACAAAAATGATTCCGGGACTTAGAAACCTTCCATATCAAGGTAGGTTAAAGACACTAAACTTGCATTCCCTAGAAAGACGAAGAGTGCGGGGAGATATGATAGAAGTATTTAAGTGGGTGAAAGGAATCAATAAAGGGGATATAGATAAAGTTCTTATAATATCCGAGCAGGATAGGACTCGTAGCAACGGATTTAAGTTGGATAAGTTTAGGTTTAGGAGGGAGATAGGCAGGAACTGGTTCACAAGTAGGGTGGTGGACGAGTGGAACAAGCTTAGCAACTTTGTACTAAGTGCTGGAATGCTGGAAAGTTTTAAAAGGAGGCTAGACAGATTCATGAATGAGAGTGGTAGTAACTCTCGACAGGAGCTGCCATGCACAGGCCAACCGGCCTATTGCAGACTCATGTTCTTATGTTCTTAATTATCACTGCTGCCACTTGTCATCTTACAAGCTATTTGGGCAGTCACTCTATAGTTACCACCATTGTTGACTAGTGAAGCTTTGTGGTGTCTAGGAATAATAGTTTTAAATCCAGTGTTATTCAGGAATACACTGCACAATGTTATTTATCATTCCACCACTTATCAGCTAACTAGCCATTTAGTCAGTTTGTTTATATAAATGGGGTTCATAGCCATTCAGCAACCTTCTCACATCTGTCTCAGGCCGGGGACTGAGCACAGGACAGTGTTGCGAGATACACAAATTGAAACTGTACCACCACCACTACTGGTGGTACAGTACAGCGGTAACCTGCGTAACTCTCGCCAATATGTCAAGGGATAGACCCTCGGCCTGGACACACGTGAGAAGGGTGTTATCCAGTGTGACCTTCACTACCAAACATCACAGGTTCCCGGTCTCCTCCTATACAGACACTGGATAGACCAACCACCCGAACGGCTGGGAATCGACATGTTCAGTTGAACAAGGCGGAGTTACTGCTGTGCATCTGTGTCTAACTACTTTTTTGTTTTGTACGGGGAATAGCCCACCCGGGCACAGGTCATCGACCCACAACAGGGCCTAGGGGGTGAAAAAATAAGAATAAAAAGAAATTAAAAATAGTATTCTAGGCCATTTAACTGTTGAGTCTGTCTAGGTTAATGAGGCCTGAACATTTATATTGTACAGGTAGTCCCCTACTTATGACTGCTTGGACTTACGTCCATCGGTACTTACGACCTGCTCTGACCTTACGACTGTCGGGACGTACGACCGTGGCAGTCGTGACCAAAAATATTTTCAAATGACGCGCACATTTTCTATACCGAAACGTTTCTGTCCCGGGCGAGAGCGTGGCAGGCTCTGGTCGCCATGTGGGTACACTCACTCAGTGGAGCGCTTAGTTGGTGTTTGGCTATCGTATCCTATACTGATCGCGCTGTGAATTTTCATTATTATCGTATTTAATTGACTTTATGACTGGAAAGCGTAAAATTGAGAGTGCTGGTGGTGCTCCAAAGAAAAGGAGACAGGCAATTACTTTTGAGATGAAAATGAAGATAATAACTCAGCATGAGAATGGAAAAACTGTAGCAACAATCTCACGTGACCTAGGTTTCTCACACTCGACCATATCCACTATTCTGAAGGACAAGGAACATATTCTTGATGTAGTGAAAGGAACAACACCTATAAAGGAACTATAATTTAAAAGAAAAAGACAAGGTCCTATTCACGATATGGAAAAATTATTGGTGATATAGATAGAAGACCAGATACAGAAGCGTGTACCCTTAAGCCTTCTAACCATACAGGCTAAAGCAAGAAGCCTGTTCCAAAGCCTGAAGGAGCAGGCAGGAGATGAATGTGATCAAACCTTTACAGGAAGTCATGGGTGGTTTGATAGATTTAAAAAACGCTACAGTCTACACAATGTTAAGGTGAGTGGAGAGGCAGCTAGTGCTGATGTTGGTGCTGCCGAAGCTTTTAAGGAGGAGTTAGATGAAGTGATTGTGGAAGGGAATTATTTGCCTGAGCAAATATTCAATGTGGATGAGACTGGATTATTGTGGAAGCACATGCCTGAGCGGACATACAGTTTCAAAGGAGTTAATGAAAATTAAGTTATTTCGGATATTAGTAACAAGATAGTGGAGTTAGGTAAACAGCTGGAGTTAGAAATTGATAATGAAGATGTTGAACAGTTGGTTGAACGTGTAGCAGAAAGGCACAGTAACGAGGATCTTATTGAACTAGATGCACAGAAAATTGCAGAGGAAGAAGAGAGACAAAATGTAGAAGAAGAACCTGCACCCCCTAAAAAGTTTTCAGTGAAACAAATGGCAGAGGCATTTGCTACAATTAATAAGGGAATTCAAATGTTTGATGGCATGGATCAAAATTATGAGCGTTATGCCAAAATTGACAGAATGATCCAAGATGAACTTGCTTGCTACAGAGAAATTTATCATGAAAAGAAAAAACAAACTGTGCAGTCTAAATTGGACATCTATTTTAAGAAGTCCCCCAGTGCTGTCTCCTCACGCCCCACCAGTGCTGCCTCTTCACTCCCTCAAGATGATCCAATACCTTCAACCAGCAAGTTTCCACAGTACATAAACCTGTCTGAAGAAAGCGACATTGATGACCCACCCAGCTTCATGTATCCTGTAAATAGAAAATTATGGGGGCCCCGTGTGCATTCAGCTGACTACATTAAAGGTAAGTAGTACTCAGTCACACTGTATCCATTCCTCATTATTTATTACTTTTACTGTACTGTAATTCATTGTAGATATTTTATGTTTTTTTTAAATTGAATTTTCTTTTATTTTTTTTTTATCTATGTCGGACTTATGACCTGGATTTGGGTCTCTAACCCAGTCGTAAGTCGGGGAGCACCTGGGTTTTTGGTAACGAAACCCAATTGTCTGTTATCCTTTTATTTTGGAACTATTGAGGATACAGTTCCGAAGTGTAGATCACCGTAACTTATCACTGTAACTATGAGTGTTAAGAGAAGGACGGAGGCTATTTAAATAGACCTTCTAAATACATCCGATCTGTGTGAGGGGTTGAGTAACAATGCCGCAGGGCGCCGGCTTTTTAATGCTGATCTAAACAGTCACTGGGCCGCGCCTCAAGGAACCTGCCCATCACATGATATGATCATGTCACCTCATAGCCAGTGGAAAGTTACAGGGGGTGATATGATTATATAAAAACAATGTATTGCCCTGACATTTATATAAAGAATAATATGGGCTGATACAATAGAAAAGAAAAAGATTATTTTAATCTACACCATGAAGATGCCGGAAAACCAGCTTTTTAGAGTGAGAAAGATTGTATGTTTATGGAAGCACAGAAGAAGACAGAGCATTCCACA